CCACCTCCTACAAGGAAGAAAATATAACCACCATCAACTGCAACCCACTCAGAGGATTGAGGGTATACACAGAGCAGAGCTCCATCCCACATTAACCAAACAGAGAGCTCTCCTCCAGAGGTTTCACATGGACACTGGCCTCACTGGCACCAATCTCCCCTCTGCCTCATCACATTTTCTCAGAGCTCACACTGCTTATGATCAAATCAAGAAAAACAGAGGAAGATGGAGGATAACAAAACAATAGTCAATAAGTGTCAGCTGCAGTTTTGTGCTGAAATGGAAGTCAGCGTTGAGAATATATGAAAGGATGGATGGTTGTTACCGTATTCTGGGTTTTACTTTATGTGCTGAGATTTATAGATAGTTTATCATATTTGGAAATGACCTCAAGACCATTTCGTAAACTCAAATAGTACAATTTGAAATCTTTAAATCCTGCCTGTCTTGTTAATTTTATTCTTGGTGATTTTCCACAGACTTCATCCAACACTGTCCAACTTCAAAGGGGGAATGTGGCGGCTGCTCTTTCAAGGCCTCCTGGTAAACACACGTTTCTCGAGGAGCTAATTTCTTTCAGATGAGCAGATTTATAAGCAGAGCTGAGGCCAGTCAGGAAGTTCAGTTTTTTAAATGGTAAAACTGTAAATTACTTTGGAGCAGATGGGTCTCAAAGTGCAATTTGCCACAATGAAATTCAAGAACAAAGAGCTCATAGAGAAGCTTCTTTGATGACATTTACTGTTGAAAATAACTAAAGCAGGTTAACATTCCACATGACAGACATTAAGATGATTTTTATTTATTTTTTGTCTCTTTTAATGACAGTGAGTGAAAATTGTGTGCTCAGATAAGTATTTGCTTGTCACTGAAATCTGTCCCAGCTGCCTTCTTGAAAATGTGATCGTGTTGTCATTAACTGATCTCCACTGTTCAATGAATAGAGCTTTTTTCCACATTCTATTATTGACACCCTTGTTCAAATAATAACAGTCTTTACAACTCAGCCTTGCTGAGTTCATCTGACAGCTTTAAAGTGGTGAATTGTCTGAGGTACCGGCATTGAACAGATTGCTGCGGAGGCCATAAGATGTTTCTAGACAGAGCTCTCAATTCTTGACAACTTGTCAAGTTTGATTGTTCAACTAACAGCTTCTCTTTACTTAACTTGTGACTGACAGGTACACTTTCAGTGGTTGTTCACCGAAGTTCACGAGTTCACGGTGGTGGAGTTTTCACAGAACTGGCTTCGTCTGTTTTGAGAACTGGAAGCCTTTCTAAGTTGCAGAAGTCATCAGTAACGCTCTCATGATCAGGGCAGAACCACATTTTCACTATCACTGGAATTAAGGTATTAGTTGTCATGGATATTCTAACAAAGGCTATCATTAGATTAAATAAAGAATTACAACACAAAATACACCCATGGCACGATTACTGGTACCGGTGTCTTGTTTTGGTGAAAGAAACCACCTCTAAATGTTTCCTGCCATTTTTCCTGAGTTCCTGCCATGATTTAGTTCATTTTTTGTTTGTGGTCCAATATGCATTTCCAGATATTTGCATTCTCCGGTTTTCCATTTAAAGAGAAAGAAAGCAGCACAACCTTTTTTTTTTTTTTTTTTTAAAAGGGGTGTTTTTGTCAGCGCTCTAAAGTCACAAGTTTTGACTTAAGTCTTGAAACCAAATAACATGTATGCCATACTATTTATTTAAAGGGAAGCATTTCTTTTCCTGTAAACATTCTGCTGTATTCCCAAAGAGTTCTGCACTGTATTCTTTTGTTACCATTATCCCATATGAAGGTTTAGTAAAAGTCAGACTTACAGATATCCTCTTTGGCCTGTGCTGAAGGAGCTTCACGTGTCTTTTTCTTAGTATAGTGGTCTTAAATCATCAATCTCTGTTGCTCCAGATAACTTAGAAATATCTAAATATGTTTGGAATAGTTAGAATATGTATTTCAGAATCAAAGACAAACTTGTCGCATGTAGTACTGGAAAAACAGGAAGTCCCATTTCAGGTAAACATCTATAATTGGTTAATCCTGATTGTGATTTAGCGCAGGTGAGTCTTGTTAGGATTTTTCCTTTCGTTTCAGAAGACATTTTCTATCAAATTTCTTCATTTATTTATGTTGCTGTATCACATTTCAGATTTAATTAGTTTTGCTGTGACACATAACTGCTTTATTTTTCAAATCGTGATCAAAAAACCCTCAGCAAAATAAAATTGTTTATGTAAGGGCCAAAAACGTTAAAGTTCTGCTTAATTCACTTGATAAACTGTGTTTAAACTTTGCTTTAACGCAATTTTGTTGAACTTTTCTGCTAAATCTAAATGTTAGAAATTCCTTAATGTCCAGGAACTACGACACCATAACGCAAACTCAGCCACTACGACTCCAGACAGATGGTTGGCAGGGACTGTGATAGGCCTCCCACTATGCCCGATAACAAGGTTCCTGGGCTATACGGGCTAACTGTGACTGTAAACACACCAGCCTCAAGGGGAGTGAACAGTTGGCCTGCAACACAGGGCCACCGGTTTGTGTGTCCAGAATGAAAGTTCCGTTATGGGGAAATGGATGAGCGTTTTAATAGCCTGATGGAGTAGGAGCAGCTCAGATGTGCTGAGGGAGAATATATCAAAGCTGCCTCAGGGAAATCAAATCCAGTGCTGTTGAGCAAAAGCAGCACAAGGCAGTACAGTGTCTTCAGTCATAGCAGGAAAGCAAATCTGAAGCTAACAGAGGTATGTGATCAACAGCCCCTAAACCTGTCTCAATTCATACTGTATCTTTTTATCAAGTTAATTTCCTCTGCCCTGCTCCACAATGACCGGGCGGCCGGCCCAGTCTGCAGCTATGAATGGAGCTTCCAATCATTTCCTCTTTGTATTTGTTTTTGTCAGAGGCCCTGTCCTCTGGAGGAGCAGTAGATGATAATGTCACAGAGGAAGGAAAGTAATGGTCTGCCCGGTGTTTATACAAGACTTTGGCATTTGTTGTCATTCTGTCTGCCGTCATTGGCAGGCGCGCTGCCACAGAGCCCCTTTTCTCTCTGCCACCTCCTCACTGAAAAACCCTCCCCACTCTGACCCACATAGGTGCTTTGAATTGCTGGCAGGCACAACAAGAATATCTGGGCCCCCTTCCCAGGAAGACCATTGAGATGTGGGTACGTGGTGGTGGTGTGTGGATGATCTAAAAATGCAAGCGTGCTGTCAGTCTCCGTATGTGCTTGTGTGTACGCGTTGCTGCTGGTTTGTGTCAGCACTTTGGATGCAGTTGAAAGAGACGAAGGATTAGATTTAGTCTCACGGTGGTTCTCTTCTTCAGACTCACTGACAGTGCAGGGAGGAGGATATAGAGGATTTTTGAATTTGTGATTTCTGAGGCACTCTTAGGAGGGAGGAATTCTGTTCTATTAATATTCTGCATGGCTAAATCCAAATCTATTATGTAGGGCAAAAATTTAAAGCCAATATACTTTTGTTACAACCAGGCATTTTGTGCTGGGATGCTGTGGGAGGTCTGTGTGCAGGAACGAAAAAGAATTTCAAAGTGAAGAAGTTAGTCAACCAAGCAAAGTTTCCTTCCCCACTGTGCTGAATAACATTATGCCCTCTATCTTGATTACATAATCCCCAGATTAATTAGCTGTGTATTTGAGTCACTTCCTGTAGAGCAACCCTTAAATCGGCACCCACCACAATCTGGCCTATCGACTTACAGGACGCCAGATCTTTTTCTTTGAAGGCCGGTCTGGCTTCAGAGGCAAAGGAACTCTCTGATCTGACAGCTAAAGGAAAGGGCCCCTGCAGTGTGCCGTTACACTCTGATAAAAACTCTGAAAAACAACATTTGGGTAGCACACGCACTCTGGGGAGGAAAAAAATTAGGAATAATTTGGTAGTAAAAACAAGAGGTGGTATGGAACAATGACAATCTGGCTCCTTTGGTAATTTCCTGTCAGCATTCATTCGTGTGATGTGGTTGTGACTGTTCTGCTGGGATCAATCAAACTTGTGAGCAGATGGCATTGTGCTCCTCCAGCAGACTGGGGATTGTCTGTTTTTTTTCAGAGATGGTAATTGGGCATGGACTGGAGCACGCTAACAGCCACTGCCATCTTGGCTGTGTAGCAGCAGCACCTTTTGGAATGCCTCATCATGCCCTACCTGTGCCTCACGCTCCATTTCATATCAACTGAAACTGGTGTTTAACATGGCAGTAACTGACATGTCATGAGAGACAGAAGTTTCAGTGAGGAGAAACATTTCAGAGGAGAATCCCAGCAACAAAATGCAACATTAACTTGCACACTTTAATTAATCTTCCATTTTATCATTCCCAAGAGCCCCCTATCTTTTCCTTTTTATTAAATTATTTTTTCAAACAATGTTGGTCTGCTACAGGCATCCAATATACCCCAAAGAGTTGAGAAATCACATTCTGGATCAGAAAGTCTTCGCACTATTTACAAGTAGAGTTAGCATTTAGGCGAAGAAAGCGTATGTGGTTAAATGGATCCGTGTGTGGGAGACCTAAGAAGCTGTATAAAAGAGAAACACAGTAATTGCATGTGTACTGCATGATGGTGTGTGAGTGTGTGAATGTGTGTGTGTGGTTGAGACGCCGGGTACTTCAAAGCTTTGATGTGGAGCTCCTAAATGAGGGCCACCAGAGGTCCAGGCTAATGGGACATCATGTGGAGATTAGAGGCAAAGTGGAGCAGGCTAACAACACAGCGGTTATATGCATGTTACACAGAAAGACAGCAAGGAACATAAGTTTGTGTGCGTTTGGTCTGTGTACACACACTTTTTGTAATTAAAACTGAAAGTCAGGCACCTAGTTTCAGATGGAGCTTGAGGGTAATTGGACAGGAAAAATCTAGTTGTGTCCAAAATGATCACAGGAATGTCAGTGGGCCTAAAAACATTGTTTTGTTTTTTATATGCATCAAAGTAAAAAAAAAAGAAAAGTAGTGCCTTGCTCAGTATGGTATAAATCCTTTATTAAATAATCATAACAATAATTATAATAACAATCATAAAAAGAGCATTTCTGTACAAAGACCCCTTTAAAACAACATCAGCAGTCCTAGCAGTGCGAAAAGGGGGATCCTGTCCTCTTAAGTTGCTTGGTCCTCCCAGGCAGAAGGGGGCGCAGTGACTGTCTCAGTCAGTGTTAATTACTGTATCTCTGTATCTGATACTGGCTCCAAAGGCAAGCTGGATCCCCGAGGCTCCAAGGCACTTTGAAGAGAGTCAGTGGGATCCATAGATGTGGGCCTCAGAGGAGAGAAGAGGGCGAGCGTAGTGAGGGTGAATGGAATGAGAAGTTGAGTGGATGTGCGTGGGGATTTAATTTCTGAGTGTGTATGAGTGTGTGTCCATAGTTTCTTGTGTTTCTTAGAAGAAGATGTCTACTATTGTTTGTATATACATCAGTATATACAAGCGCAGTGTTTGTATGTTCATGTGTGGGAGGGAATTCTGAGATCTTTCCACTCACTCTCTCTTACTCATGGCTTACGAGTCCATTCAGAGCATGCCAGGCCCTTTTAACTGGTTCAAAACTTTTTTCTTAAAATAAAAAACCCACAAAAATAACAACAGCGAAAAGCTTGTCTTGCCAATAGAGACTCAACATTAAAAATCAACGTAAAAAAATTCACAAAATAGGCCGCATTTAGCCAACAAGTTGAGGTGTGGGTGGTGTGACGTAATGTGGGAGAGGATGGAGTAGGTCCTTTAAAATCATGGCTTTTGAGGTCCACATGTGAAATGTCTCAGTGCCGCACAGACGTTGCTTTTTCATTTCACAAACACTTTGCTTTTAAGGCTTGTTTTGTCCGGGCACACAGTCAGTCGTAGAGAGGAGCTGTGTATACTCTTTTTTTTTTCTTCTTCTTCTTTTTTATTTGTATTTGAGAGCACAGAGAGAACATCACCCCTGTGAGAGAGTCAGGAGATTTTCGTGCTCAGCCAGTCATAGTCTCTCTCGTTCTCTCTTTGCTTCTTTTCCATCATTGGTTCAGTCTCTGCCCTAACCAGCAATCCATAGGTTGCACCAACCAAAGCTCCTTGACCTTTTACCATTTACCGCAATGTAAACATGACCTTCTCTTTGACAGGAACCAGTAACAACAGTCTCTGACAACTAAATCTAACAATAACGTCTCCCCTTCGTCCAAAAAATGTGTTAAAATGCCCCCCTCCTCACCTCAGCACACATTTACTTTCTTCACCTCTTTCTTCCCAACTTGTCATCCATCAGGCTGGCAACAGGCCAGAAAAAAAACACTAAACAGAAAGAGTGATTGAGCAGAAATTCAAGGGATGTCAGTGACTAAAAATACCACAGGCTGTCAGGAACTAAGAGGGAAAACTGAGGCTGATAGGTAGCAGAGTCTATGACGGAACAAAAGAGCCGAAGGGCCACACAAAGGAGCTAAGTTCTAGGCCACTGTGTTCACATGTGATCAAAAAATACTTTTTCTAAGCACGTTCCTAACCTACCACCTTTCCAACACAATGTGTCTGGCTCTCTGTCAGTGTAGTTTACAGCATCCAGTTTCAAAACTAGATCAGTCTATGATGCATTGATAAACAGTTCTCCTTTGGTGGATGAGGAATCTGCCATTGATATGTCTTGATATTTACTTTTTTGAGGCCAAACGTCAGTGCGATGGAGCAGTCAATAGCGGTAACCCGTCTCTCGTTCATTGGCTTCCTTACCGCAAATATTTCCAGTTCTGGAAATATTTGCGGTATTTCCAATACTGGTGCCACATTTTCCCTTCTGATTGTGACCTGCACCACAGAGGAAGTCGACTGATACTAGAGTGATAAAGTGGTGGGAATGGAGAAAATAGTGAGAGGTTTTCACAAAATGGCTGCGTCTCTCCACCAGGTCCTCTCTCACGCCTCGGTGCAGCAGCGCTGTTGGTTGAGTTTCACCTTGTGCTTGAGGCCATCGTACAATTCAAAGTTGTAGTTCTCCAGAGTGGTGGAGGAGCGTGACGACAGTCCGCTGTAGGAGCAGGTGCAGTAGAGGAGGAGCCCGGCGCAGACTGCCCCCAGCAGGACACCCAGGGAGCTCATGACAATGATGGTGACCAGGATGGGGTCCAGAGTGTACAGCCACGAGTTGTCCTTTTCTGAGACGCGTGTCACCGGAGGGTCGGATGACGGGGACGCCGTGTTCCACTCTGGGAACTGCAAACCTGAGACAGGACGGCAAGCAGACAACAGAAGTCAACCTGATGACAGACAAGGGGTGGTTGTATCCATCTGTGTACTCATGTAAAGGCAGCAGTGACTATCAGAAAAGAAACCGGATTCAAGCTCCGGAGTTCTGCTTCTGCTGATGCTTTATATCTCAAGTTAATTTTGCCTTACCTCCACCTAGAGGATCCCTGTCAATGAAAAGCCGCCCGTCTCCAAACTCATTTGGTCTCTTAGCTGTTGAAGAGAAAAAGAAAACATGTGAAACAGGTGAAAATATTGAAAATTAAATTATAGTTCTATTCATGAACGCTAACACCAGACACACATACACAGGCTTTAAAATATAAAAATATGACTTTATTTATAGAGAAAGATCATTAAGATACATTCCTTTCCAACACACAGCCATCACATTGGATACTGATAGTATAAGACTGCTCATTCTGTGTAAATACAAATGCATAACACAATATCACTGACAAAGTCATTTCTGTCAAGTTAAACAGTATAGTGTATTTGACATTTAGACGGAGAAAATTAAAGGCAACATTTCAACATCGAAGAAGTGCTTGTGGTAGTCGTGCTTTCTGTGAAGTGGCGTGTGTGACATGAACTGCAAATAAACATTTTATGTCAGTGATTAAAAAAGTGGTAAAAGTAGCAACGATTACAGTATTTAAGTCGAGCGCGATAGCTCCAGTCTACTATCATTTTTACATTAGTTTCCTAATTACTCTAAGTCTGTGTCTGTTTGCAGCTCTTGGCAAGCATTCAGGAGTGGGAGTAAGTGCTTGGCCAGGCACATGTCTAGATCTGGAGGTCTTTGACAGCCAATGGCATTATTAATAGCGTTTCCAGGGCAACACCAGTTGGCAGTGGATTGGGCTATACGGGGAGGGAAAAGTGCTTACGAAGCTTTAATAAATGTTAGCTGTCCATTAACTAATTACAACTATTAGAGGCTTGGTGCGTAATGGTGTCGAAATGCATCAAGTCGGGTGTCCAAATCCTCCTCCCCAAGTTGATTTAAAAGCACAGAGTAAACTGTGTGCCAAAAAGAACCTTTTTTCATTCCAGAGAGAAAAGTGCAGCTTTGTAATTGTGTCAACAAATTGAGGTGCGTGCGACTGAGCTGTGGGGTAGCATGTGATGGATTTTTGAAGCTGCGACAGACTGAAAAAGCAATGCTCCGTTTAGCCAGAGCGAAGGCCTCAATTTCATTCAAACCAGCCGAGCTTGTGTCAAATCTCACCAACTCTGTAGCAACTGAATTGAGATAAACGGCTGCCATTTGCTTTCCTTTGCCAGAGTTTCTGAGAATTCACAAAATGCTTTTGATGCTAGATGTGTAAAAAAAATTGTAAAAGTGAATTTTCTTCATCCTTTCTTACCGCCACTAATCTTATGTTTCTAAAGAAAATAGTATCTTTAGCTGGAGCTCTGCTCTGGTTTTCATAATATCGTGAATCCCTCTCAAGAGTGCGCATATACAGCAAAACACTCCACTTATGGTTTCCAGCTGTTCCAGCGGCATTGTGGGATTTGTAGGAGTATAAATCAAGGAAGATGTGGTGATGGCAGACAGCTGTGTCTATTTACAACCCTAAAAACAACAAGCACATATTCACAATGAAAACGCGACATGGCTTGGCTCAGCGTGGCTTTCATCTGGGCAGCTCAAAGACAAGGGGAAACAACTGGAGTGGGTGGTATGAAGCATAAATGGGAGTGGAGCAACGTGCTTTATTACAGCAGAGAATCAAGATGAAACACTAAACACTGAAGACGGCTGCATCCATCACTGGCTGATGCCTTTATCAGGAGAGGACGAGATGCTCAATCAAACTAGCTGGTTATCTCCATTTGTGATGCAGGGCTTTAAGTATGATGGATTTTGCATTCTTTAGTTTCTAAATGTGCACATGCTAAGTTGAAAAGGATAATGGAGACAATTTTTCTCCTCTGTTGCAACACCTTTGCTATTGGCACATCTCAAGTCGCAGCTATCCTGTGCTGTTATTACAGGGGCGCCATGGCATTATTTTCGGAGACTTGCCAGATCGTTTCAGCGGCTACACTGAATGCCTCTCATCCTAACAGTTTTCTACTCTCCCTCTCAGCACTGCGGAGCTCCTCGTGTCTCTGGGGTCTTGTTTTTGCCTTGTGGTTTGGCAGCTTTGGCTGGCTCTCGCAGCACAACCAGCTCGACCTCACCCCCCCCCCCCCCCCCCCCCCCCCCTCCCAGCCCACACATGTCTTTGTGTATGTCCATGCTGGGGTCATTCCAGGAGGACCGTCGGGGGTTATGAGGAGCCAGACGGCACTCAATGGTCCGAATCCGGCTGTTGAGGAATAAGTTACTTCATTCCAGTCATTGGGAGCAGTATAGTGTGAAATGTCAAAGGCAGGCTCCTTAATCAAACCAAGAAGAAAACAACTGAAGCTTCGTCCTTCGGAGGCGCAGAGAGAGGCAAAGTTTTCTCTTGTTCGGTTGCAAATTTCCTCTTATCCTCCTCATTGCCTTTGCTGATGTAAACTCAAGGAGTGGGGCTCGGCGAGCGGTAGCTAGGTCAATGTTGCACCACCATGACTTGCATCGCCACCGACATCCCAAGTTGGCATCCACATCTGCCAAATAGGTGCATTGGCTAAGCGCTCCTCTTTAGCAGAGGGTACGGTGTCGGTCCCGGCTGTCCAGCCTCACTGTCAGGACTGGCTCCACCCCAGGGGTGGCCATACTGGTGGACCAGTTTGAATACTGGAAGCACTGCGATGAGCTGTGATAGGCCACTGACAGCTGGCTCTTCTTGGTGGCCAGATGTTGTCGACAGCAACACAGAGCTCTGACCAAGATGGCCACTGCCAGGAGAAGGAGGGCGCCTCCGGCGGCCATAATGTAATACCAGTGGATGGGTAAGGGAGGCACAGGAACGCCTCCCCCTGGTGGAGAGATACAGAGTAATTGGCCAGGGGGAAAAGAGAGGAGTGGCACTTGTTTATTGTCTGCATTTAATCAGCTAATTTCTATCCCAACTGTGTTTATCAAACGAACAGCAGGCGTGCACCTCGTGTGAGCATGCACAAGCAGGCCAGTTGCAAAATGTAAAATGAATCTCCAAGGCCAAAACGGAAGAAAGAAAAAGCATCCATTTCTGTCATGTAGCACTGGCTGTGTTCGTGGACGAGTTTTCACACCAAGATCATCGAGAGATTTGGTTGGAATTCGCTCCAATAGTTGATCCAATCAAATGCAATGCAATTAAACTTTTTCAAAGATCTAATGGAATTACTTGGTGTGAAACTAAAGCCAAAACAATTAGTCATACAAGCACTCACACACATTGAATAATGGAGCTTCCTCTTCCTGATTCACACTGACACAGGATGTCACAAACAGCCCTCCGATACAGACTCAGAGCCATGCAAGATTCAGCCGGACACCACACGGGAATCCAATGTTCCAAAGCTCTCTGAGCAGATATTGGATTGCAATTTGTTTCATAACCGCCTGAAGTTGGTAGATTTATCCTGAAGACATAAGTTATCCTGTTCTCTCATCTTGGTTTGATCCATTTTCCCTTCCTTTTTTCCAAACAACAGCCTCCAGGCCAGTCCTCTCCTCCTCAAGCCAAACGCTGTCTCCTTTGAGACTTTCTCCACAGAGCCTCTGTGCTGCTGCCCCTGCCGCAAACCCCCTCTCAAATGCTTTCTTATTTAAAAAAAAAAAACTAATCAGCATCCAAGAAGCTCCTACACTTCTGTCCAAGTACGGTCAAACAGAACCCAATGGACACTTAAATATGAAAAACAAAAAATAGCTGATGTGTATGCTCCAAACGTTCTGTGAGGACCAGAGTGTGGAATGTCATGTTGAACTTGGGACACTGAAGCAGAGCTCAATACATCCTGATTTTTGGACCGTGTCGCATAATTACAGAGGGAAATGGTGCGTGCTCCTGATACTTCACACTGCACACACTCATTAGACGGAGCCGAGTTAGGGAGAGGAGGGCACCCATGCTCAATGCTGTTCAGTCACTTTATCTGATTGCTTTTCACTGGGGATCCCGCTGTGTGTGGGGATGTTAAGTTATGCCTTTGCGTGTGCTTGTCAAGTGGGTATAGGCAGTGTGGAAGGAAAGCCGAAGAAATGCACGCACCTGGCCTGCGTGCGGAACCAAGTTCTTATCCCACAGAAAGGTATTAAGAGATGCCAAAACACTAACATCAATCTTATAGAGTCCCACTAGGATGCTCTAAGTATTTTTCATGAGGCTTACAGTATTTGAAATCTCCTAAGGCTTTGCCACGAGAATATGGAGCTCTTTACAAATGTCTGACTACACAGTGTGTGCTTGGTTTAGCTTGTGTTACAATGGTTTACCGGCAAACTGAAAGTACAGCAACAGCAAGTATAGCTCGGCTGGATTTTTCTTTATTTGTAAATTAAGCTTTTGGACTTACGTGAGGGTTTAGTATTTGTGGTGTCTACATGCTGCAGATGCTAAAAATGATAATGTTTTATTGGCCTAATCTGCTTCTTTAGATTCATCCTCTTTTTTTTGTCAATGAGTGGTTCGGGCTAGTGTTTTTTTGGTTTGTTTTTAAGAACAGCTGACACATTCAAGCAAAAAACCCCAGGCTAGTACATAACAACGTGGCAGGAGGCAAGACCAAATAAGAAATTACACCAGAGCAAAGTCCAACTCACCTGGATTTTCAGGAGAAAACGCTGCAATGGGTTCTGCGAGGACAGGGAGACAGGTTCAGGCAGAGAGAGACAGGAACAAGAGAACTGTTAGATAACTTTAAAATGTTGGAAATGTCATGACGCTATCAAACCTCTGTGTTGGAAATTCAGTTCCACAGATTTCTCATGTGAATTCTGACATTTACAGGAATCCTTTGCAAGAATACCCGCTCAAAGATTATGTCAGTTTGGACTTTGAGAAGAGTTGTGGTCAGAGCATGAAGGCCATGTGTGCGTGCTTGTGTCAGTGTGTTTGTAAAGTTCACACACGTTGTTTATCAGTGGCGTCCAGTGAAACTGGAGCGGCCTGGGAGGTTCTGGCTGGCTGTAAATGCACAGAGCAGAACCTTCATTTTGATTGCCTGGAATGCAAACACAAAGAACTGTGTGTGTTTCTCAGACTGTGTTTGATAGTGTACATTGTGTGTCTTTGTGTGTGTTTGGGGGGGGGGTTAAGAATAAAGTGAGAGGGAAACCAACTTGGGAACTTGCGCCTTTTGGCGGGAATGCCGACGCAGTGTGAAAAACCCAACTGTGTTGCATGATAAGACATTTTCCAGCATGCTTTAGGAGTGGCGGGGAGAGAGAGTGATGGGAGGAAGGAGAACACACAGCAGCACGGAGGCAGGACAGGGCCGGGCTGTCATCTTTGCCTTTCAAGCTGCTGTGCAGCCGAGACTCTCTCAGGACACACACACAAACAGAAAAGTGACTGATAGAAAATGCAAACACAAAAGACAAAAGCAGAAGGACTAGCCCCACACACTTTCCCTGAATTACACTGCGGGCCAGCTCCACAGCTTATTGGATGTCAGTCACAAGTGATGAAGGCCGGTTCTTGGCTCTCAACCTGCAGCTCGGTCTCTGATCTGTTTAAGACCCTCTCAGAAGCCCCTGCTTGGCCCAGATTAAGGCAGCAATGCTGGCGCTCGACTCAAGCCAGACACCAGCGAGCTTGTGTGGGAAACAGCCTATCTAGTAATTCCCTTTGACAGCTCAGGAAAAGCTCTGTTTACAAATATGACACAGGAGTGAGCGCATTAGAGATGGAAGGAGAAAAGTGGAAGAGAAGAAGAAAAACCTAATGAAACATAGATAAGCATCGGCGGAGCCCATGAGGCATTTATGGCCTAGTTTTGCTATTCTTCTTTTCTTTTTTTGGTGAAAGTGTAAACACTGTCCCTCCCTCTCCCCGCTCGTTTGATCGGTGCAATCAGTGGGCTATTTTAAAGAGAGCCTGCCTCCAAAACCAAGGGTGGCAGGGATTAATATGTGTGGGTTTATCAAATTTCATATGTCAGTCTTTAAGAGTCCTCAGGCTAAAAGTGGGAGAAGTGGAAGTGAGATATCAGAATTGACAGAGGGTGAAATGCAGAGATGATGGATGTGTTAAGCGACGACGGGATCATGCTGGTGGATGAGCATGCTGGAGTATCTTTTGCTGCTCTTTTCCAAACACCTTCCCTGCTGAAGAAATGTAGGAAATCTGGTGCTGGAACCAAAGAAACTCTATGCAACTTACGTGTACACTCTGTTAGCGAGGAGCTGGAGCTGATGTGAATGTTGTCTATCCAGATGTGTCCTCTGGTGCCGTGCACAAAGAATCCCTCCATGACAACCTAACAGAGCCAAAATGAAAGAGGAGGAGGAGGGAAAGTTGAAAAAAGTAAGACCCAGGGAGAGGAAAGAAGGAAGAGGAGGCAGGATGAAGGGAGAGGGGGAGCAAATAGAGAATGGGGACAAGTAGGAGGAGTAAGAATAAAAAGTTAATATGCTCCCTGTGATTTCAAAGTTACACTCAGCATTTGCAATCATCCTCTAATTCTCTGCAAGCAACTTCAGCTAACTATTTTATGAGAACGAGAACTACTTTTGATGTCTCTGACAAACGCACAGCAAACCCCCCAAACAATCCCAGCGCCAGCAGAGACTGCAGAGTGCTTTCTCTCCTTCTCTAAGAGACCTGGCCTAAAACTGACACAGATTTCAAACAGTGAGAACGGTGGAATAAATGGCGAATGGTCAAATTCATCACACAAAAACACTGTTACAGAAAGAGCTTGTTTTTTTTCAGGCATAACTTTAAAAAAGTGGACTGGTACCTGGAAGTCTTTGGGAGAGCGTGGCAGGATGGTCCGACCTTCCTTCCAGACATTGCTCTGATTATCTTTCAGCGTCCACAGGACCGTCTCCTCATTGTGGGTGTCCCGAAGTAGGACCCTCAGGTGGCCCTGGGCCTCGCCCCACAGCTGGTATGAGAATAGGAGGCACAGAGGCCCCGTGTCTGCCGCCACCACAGGGCTCACCAGCCGGGCTCGCTGCTGCTCCGTCTTCAGGCTGGCGTCCATGTACAGGTAGCTGTTGAGCTCTGGCGGGAGGGAGCAAGATGTGCAGTAATTAGGTACGGTTTACTTTTTTACAATGCATTAAAGTGTGCAAATAAACTCACTGGTATGCAGAAATCTTATTCAACCACTGTTCTTTAAAAAAACAACAACTGGTAACTTAATCCAGATGTCATGTATTTGTGAAATTTCACTTCGACAATAAGAAACCAAGCTATTTTTGTATTTCGAAACATTCAAACACATGAGCCGGCATTCATTTTAAGCTTCAATCAAATAGTTTCTACAGTGAAATGAAAGAGAAAATGTCTAATTTAATGGATTTTCTCTTCAGGCTTCAAAGCAATAAAAAAGAGGAAAATCTGACAGGTTGTGCAGATTTTCCATTTCCATTGCAAATGGAAGCTGCCGAAGTAGTTTGTATGGCGCAAATGGAACTCATACACAGTGTGTGTGCGTGCGTCCATTCAGTCACACAATTATCACCATCAATCATAACCATTCACACATAAAGCAGGACTTCCACACACACACACACACTCACACACACACATGCTGACTGTGTTTTCACACAGTATGACATTTCCAATGTGACTCTTAAACCAGGAACTAATCACCAGTTGCTAACAGGAATGGGATCCCCTCTGCACAATGGTCACACCAAACAATAAGGATATGACAAATATAAACACACAGAAGAATAGGTCCGGTGAGAGCGTCATTCATACACGGAGAGTTACAAGAACCCCAGCCAAGACCCTTGGGGCCCATTTCTCTTCATTCCCTTACAGGTAAATGACTTAAGCAACAGAAAACTCCAACAAAACAAATGCCACTCCATTTGTTTTCACCGGAGGATGTTTAGTTTGCAAATTGGATGCTGACATGAATTCCACTGTGAGAAACAAGTCAACCTACTGTATGTATGAGCCGAGTAGAAAAAGAGACTATGTGAATGTGTGAGAGAGTGACTCAGTGAGGCGTCTGGTGAAGAATTCCTTAAGTGGGCCCTGTGGGAAAATGTCCTGTATCAACAATCTCTACCTCAAATCACCTGTTTTAATGTGAACAATGCGTACATACATATTTCATTCTGTTGTGTGTATAAGCAAATATGAGTGAATGTGTCTGGCAGAGCTTGTTGTCCAAAGCACGGCATCATGGAACAGGGTTGTATGTTTTAGTGCAGCCATGCTCAGGTTATTGAGTGACTGGGCAGATAACCTTTACTGCGTGGGTGGATTTGTGTGCATGCAGTTTTTCCAGCAGATCACACACAGTGGTATCTGGGGGGACAAATCTGTCTTGGATTTGACAGGCCCCCTCTGCCTTCCATACGCCCAGTGTTTCCTGTGTGTGACACTTCAGACAGTGGGAGTGTGACAGTATGTCCCTTGGCCCTGCACAGTCCTGGAATGAATGTGTGTCACTATGCGCTCGTCTTTGCTCCATTTGACAGCATTTCGGGGGGGGTGTACAAGCTGTGCCTGTGAATGTGGAGAGGATATGCAACTGAAACGTATTTAATACTCCATAAAGTGTTTCATGTCTTGGTTAAAATCATCTTCCATCATCTTCGCCTGGTGTTGAAGCATGGCGCCTGGCAGCGAACCCCCCATTGTTGTGCCTCTTGTTCGCCACACAGCTCATAATCGAAGCCGCCTTGCTGCCGAGCATTCTTAATCTATTTCACAGTGTTCCGCAGCAGCAGGAAGCAAACAATGATTCAATCTATGAGTCCTGGTTATTGTTTTTTTTTACCAGCTGGGTTTTTTAAGCCATATAATACAACTGTCCTTGGTGGTTAATTCCAGCTTTATTACTCGTTGCACGATTGGGGTCAAGAGGTGAGGAGTTTGTGACATCTGGCTCACGTGGGAAAGAGGAGCTCCACGGAGGATTAGGCGGTGACTTGATCGTGGTGAAATAATGACCCTTTACTGCCTAGGATTTCTGACCTTTGACATTTGCAGGAAAATCAAAGGCTTATGCAGTGTGTCAAAATGGCTGAAAATGATACTTGATGCAAAAAAGGCTGCAGCCTTTTAATCCAAGCAACCTTTTTCCAATCCATCCATGATGAAAGAAGTTGCTTTGAAGCCTGAGTCAAAGATAGTTATGACCCACATAGGTCACGCTTCAGGAGCATTTCCTCCTTTGCTCTGAGATGTCCTGCTGAATACGGCCCAGGTGACATCACAAATTTGACAAAAAGGGGCATGTTTGAACCTCTAGCTTTAATCCTCGCCAGCTGCACAAATTCTGTATCTTTGATGGAGACTTTCTTAAAACCAGTGAAGTCTCAAATAAGGTTGGAATAACAATCCTATACCCTGCCGATGAGAAATTCTAAACATTGCTACAAAATCCTTCCGGAGCTCAGCAGGGAGCCTCTTCTGTAGCTTTTAATAACACGCCAAAAGCTGCACTTTTGATCTGTGGGTATGTGTAAAGCAAAAACGAATAATTATTTCTTCAAGGAATGTCTAAGTAGATGGAAGTCTACACGGCATCATGTGGGATGTGCCCGAGGTAATCGAAGGGTAGGAGAGGACAGCCGGGAATAATTGCTCGTCTTTGGAATCCCCTGCTCTGGGCTTAATTGGAGCTACTGGGTCTTAACCTCTTCCTGCTGAGAGTTTTTGACACACAGTGGTGAGTGAGTGTCAAATGAGAGACTGTACACACACCCCACACATTCACACGTGAATATATGTATACTAAATATCTAAATGAGTGATATAATACACACACACACACGCATGCACACACATATCTATACATATCTATATACACACATACTGCAACCATCTCTTTGTGTGTGAATCTGTAGTTTAATTTGAATTTATAATCACTCATAAATTTCCATGTACTTGGAACAATGACTATTGTTATTCTTACATTACACCAGTTTCAACTCTGAATGTTTTTTTTAAAGTAAAAGAAAAAGTAGGAAGAGGTTTAATGACCGTAGAAAACTGTCATGTTGAGACCCTCAAAAGTTAACTAACTTTTCAGACATCTGAGCATTTTTCTCCATCCAGATAAAGTTCTACCTGCTATTGCACACATTAAACCTATCAAAGAGCAGTGACTCAGAAAGTAATCCGACTAGTCAGTAGATGCGGGGCTGTACATAACTAGGGGGCCACAGGTGGGATGAAAAACAAACAACAGTGTGATTGATCTCTTCAGAGACTACTCATTTAGTTTGCTAAACTGATGAATATTCATAGCGAGACCATTTGAGCATAACAAATTTGACTAAATTACAGAGAGAATGGATGGGCAGTGCAGAGATCAGAATAGAAAAAAAAAAGATGACAGCATTAATCATTCAAAGTAGGTTTTGATTGCTCTGATGAAATATTATACAAACTGACATATTTAATATTCTGATCTACATGGCGAACAGTTGATTAAAAATTCAGCATTTCTGTTTCTGATAGTATTTCCTTTTTATCTAATCCGTACACATGGAAAACCCCTCATTTACAGATTCTTCTTTATTGTCCACATAAATTGTTTTCTGAACACTGTTTTAGACCTGATGGTGGCAGGCCACAAAAACCCAAAATCTATAACTTGGACAAATCCAAGGCTTTTACTCACACTGGGCTGTAAAATCAGGTCCACAGAATGTAATAATATTACTGCGCATAATGGTTCATGTAAAATGCTGTAAATTTTAAATGAGTGTGCTGTGTGTGCTGCCAACAAGAATATTCCTGGAAGTATTAATTAGATTGGCTGCATGATTTAATGTAAGAAATAAGCTGTAAGTGCCTACTGTGAATCTCAGAAGAGGCTCAAACATTAAGAAGCTCTTATGGATGATTCCCTAAAGAAAATCTGATATTTCCTATGTGAACCACATCGAAACGGTGGATTGTCTTCCACTGGTCCTCTCTTTTGAATGAATTTTGTGCATTTATTTCCTGAGAGGAATGCCATGCTTTTTGAACTGTTGATCAGTGCTATTTGCTTCAGGAGTTCCACTCCTGAGTGAGTAAGACAGAGCCTTTAAACTCCTGTTGAGGAGACTCACCGTGACGTCGCAGAGACCAGAGCAGCGGGGTGTTGGGGTCGTGTGTCCACCCACACAGGCCTTTTTCAAAGTCACACACGCTGTCCGATGGAGGAGAGGCAGACACTGGAGAGCAGAGGGGAAGGATCCATCAGTCAGATCATTAGAGTAAAGCTTTCAATTCTCTGAGTCCAACTCTTCCTGTGCACTTCCTTGTCTCACCTGTAGTTGTGACGGGGATGGTGGTGGTTTCTATGTCAGGTGGAAGAGTTGGTGGGATGGTTGTTGCTGGGGTGCTTATTTCTACAGAGACACACATAACAAAAGTCTGGTCAATTGTGGCTTCAGGAAACAATCTTCAGACATGGAAAGGAGATCATTTGACTTTCTCCCTTGGTGGGCTACACGAAAGAGAGAATATAATAAGTTCACAAAGGGCAGAAAGCACCAAAGAGGAATGAAGAATGGTGGCTGTAATTATAACTCTGCACTCTGTTTATTCCATATAAAAAACAAATGAAAAACCAAAATTCTCAGTTGTGATTCCCCAAGACAACTTGATATTGGATATTTAAGTCCGGAAACTGCTGTCTAAGTACCTCTGGATGAATTTGAGCTCTAGCCAAAACTTAAGAGCCTATCTCAAAACTCTTGTCTGCTATTTGAGACAAGAGGAGGAAGGCATGGAGAGTTCCAGAACACCCAGGAGGACCCCTGTCATGTTGTGTCTGTGAGCTTTGGCGTCAGCGTCTGCCTGAGACCCATTCTGGCTAAAATGTGCAGAGGCTCTGGCCATGCTGATACATAAACACATGCATGAGACGCCTGACGTTAAGGCTGATGGATGGATGTGTCTAACAAACTCCCCTCGACCTTGGACAGGATGATCACAATCTGAGACTACTCACTGCCTGTCAGCGAGGCTCCAGGACAAACATTAACACTCCATCCAACACTCTGTTGTCTTGTGCGCGTTTGAGTTACTGGCTCCAAAAGCATCTCTCTTACTACATAACTTGCCTGTACTCGGTGGAGAGGAGAAGAAACAATGTGATACAGTATTTTCTCTGTGCTGTTAACATTGATGGAAGCACGACTTGAGAAAGGCAGCCCACAAAGGCATAAATAAGGCCACGTTTGCTCGTTAAAACACGTCACATGCGTGCACAAACGGACACATGTGGAGCAGGCTGCAGTTGGAATGTGAAGTGGAGTGTTATTAAGAGCAGATGGGTCAACCCTGGTGTGTTGTGGGAGTTTACACAGAAGTTTGGGTCAATTCTCACACACAGATCAGGATTTATCATCTGAACGAAGTGTATGAGCCGTCTTCTCCTCCAGTATCTGTCTGTGAATGGAGTCATTAGCGACATTGTTTTTTTTTTAGTCACTTTCACTTAACAAGAAACATACTTCACTCATTTAGCATTAACGTCAAAGCACATAGTTAAGGATATCGTGTTTCATATCCCTTTGTCGGCTTTCTTTGACTCGTCTCCCTGAAGCCAATCCAAACAACTCAGAGGCTCCGATGCCTGATGATCTCATGTGAGACGATTTCAAAAGAAACACAACCGGCACATGAACATCGCAGAGAAAATAGAGTCCAGCCGATTTAACGTGCAGAAAGCCTGTTAGTGCCACTCCTGCTGTGAATTTTCTTCTTTCCCCATTTAAAGTTGCAAGAAGCAAAAAGGTCAGCAAACACAATGCAATACACAAAAAGGAAAAAAAATTATTTCTGCGGAAATGAATGCAAACGGCACCACAGCTGGAGAAATGGCAGAGATAAAAAGACTCGGTCACAGCTGGCCATGGCTTCTGACATTAACCCAGCGTTAATGTCATGTCCTTTATGCCAGTCATTAACAAACTAATGACTCTTATCACTGTCGGCTCACGGGAAAGGTAAGGCCAGGAGAGCAGCCATCCTTCTAAAAGCCCTTTTCTGACTGACTTTTCAGCTTCTTCTTCACATCCTGTTTCACATTCACTCTACACGTTTGCTTTTCTTTATCGTTTTTTTTTGGAAAGACGAACCTTTTCGTTTTCTATATCAATATTTTGTCACGGGGATTCAAATAAACCAAGACTCTGCATATCACCAAGCATTCCCTCCAGGACATAACACGAAACCTGTAAACTCAATACACACACTCTAGTCCATTAAAATTCTCCCCAGATCCTGACTACTCTGGGCTTTCAAAGGTCAGGTCCTGTCACGGTGTAAATGCGCTGACCTTTCCAGGGTGTGACAGGAGTGTCAGGGGGCGGGGCTACGGGAACGCGACTGACTTGTGCGTTTGTGGACGGAGAGAGAATGTGTGATAACGCCGGTGACCTGCCTACCTTGCCCGGAGCTCTGTCCTTGATGTGAGTGAGGACTGTGTTGAAGAAGTGTGTGCAAACAGGCCTTTTCTGTGTAACAGAGGGCTTTATAGGGCAAAAAAAAAAAAAGAAACAAGCAGCCGGCAGCAGAGCGCGTTCTTACGTAACACGGTTGCTGCAGGTGAAGATGCGGGTCATCATCATGCACAGGATGAGGCACCAGCACTTAGAGCTGGACTCAGGGGAGCTCTGATATTGATAATACAGATGCATACTCATGTACATGTAAGCATGCACGCTTGCAGGTAGATTCTTTCTAAAGCTTTGTTTTTGCCAACACACTCCAAATACGAACATACACACTCGCACACGCACACAGGAGTGTGGAGGGCCAGTGCTCCCTCATAGAAAATCACTGCTCACTTCAGGAGCACCTGACTCAGCAATATGTCAGAGAACTGAAAAAAAAAAAAAAACTTCAATTATGTAGAAAGCTTTTCTGTAAATCTCTCCCTGGCAGTCAGAGGCACACTCACACACTGATAAATGGATGTGACACACACACACACACACACACACACACTGCAGAAAAAGACGATGAGAAAGACAAGTTTGTCATTCTGCAGGGTGGGGTTAAGTGCTCAGATCAAGGTTCAGCCATCCACAAACTGTTCACCTTGTGTTGTTTTCTTTCAGAGGATATTACACTTTTTTTTTTAAAAGTTTGTAACCATAAGCTGCAGCCTGCACTATAACACAGGGTCACCATGTTTTAGAGATCTGACTCAAATAACTCAAGACAGAGTCTAAGAGCTGCTAAGTGATGTTTCACTTCTGTAATTCAATCCTAGTTTCCTGACTCTAGATACGTGTGCATTTCTGTTAAAGTAGCAGTGTAGGTAAGAGGCAACCAGTCACAATAACGAATCTGGACATGTGCAATTGTAATAAAAAGAAAAAAATGTAATATTAACTGATGCAAGAATGACAAAAGGCTGAGAGTAACACAGCTACAGTTACAGCTGTCCAGAGAAATCATCAAGACCACTAATATGACATGACTTTTATGAATGGATTTTTTTTATTAGTGTGCTGTAGGTAGTGTAGGAAATTTTTTCAGGGAATAAATAAACATCTAGACACTAATGCTTTCTAGAATTAAGGCTTTTGTATCGTCAATAAAAAGAGGGAATCTCTGATTTTACCACTACCATGTTTAAAAAAGGATGTTACAACATCCATTTTTATTACAATGGTATAGACATTCAGAGATAAAGTTTGAACATATATTACACAGGCAAGACAATGCCCAAAATACATAAAGCAGAACACCTACCCTTCATGACCAGAATAAAAAAACACAGTGTGGGCACTATTAAAATTTTTTTTACTGTGTCTTTTGGTTTTGTTGCTATCTTTGGTTCAATGTTCTCTATTTTTTTCACCTCAGGGCCACCACACACAACCAGCTTGAACAAACAGGCTAAATTATAAGGTCCAAACCGCGTTACCCGCGTGAAATCTATCATTACTTTATAGTGAGCTCAGCTGCATTAACTGGGATTTTGAATGAAGCGGAAATATCGTGTGAGGCTAAGACACCTGAAGTTGAAATTATAGCTGTGCATGTGTGTGTGTGTGTGTGTGTGTGTGTGTGTGCACACACTCTGCTATTCAATGCTCCTAAGATGAAAATGATTCTACCTGGAAACAGGCTGAGATGTTATACCATATTCCTTACAGATCTCTAAAATTCCCTGCCTGAGCTCATAAATATTTCACCCTTGGTGTAGAGAGTCTAAAAAAACTGTCATGGCAGAAGCGCTGTGTGTGAGGCAGCTGCATGGGAACGGGGGAAACAGAAGGAGCCACGACCAACAGCGGTGAGCACGGAAAAGAGGTGCAAGTGATGAGTAATAGAGGAGGTGGGGAGGAGAGGAAACGAGAGGAGGCATGGTAACGAAAAAAGAACAAAAACATTTACAGACCCACGCACTGGGCCTCAGGGTGGGAAGGAAAGAACTGCAACCATGTGTTGGGATGAGGAGAGACCTTATCCTGCCTCACTATGGCAGCTCCGACTATTAAAACAGCTCTGTGCAAGATCTTGTGGGAAGAATATCTCCCTTTTATGCCTAAATTGTACATATAAGAACAGTGAAGACACGGTTGAAGACAGGCTGAATAGTCGGAGTTGGAGAGGAAATGAATGATTTACAGGATGTCAGCAGTAGTCCATTATTCCTGCTGAGTTCTGGTGGTGTTTGAACGTGTGATTGTTCAGAACAGCATTGTGTGCCACATTTCTCTCCAAGTTAGCTCTCTATGAAAGTGGCATTCTCTGATTTTCTATCTTGTTTGCATTTTTGTGATTGTGATTGTGTTCATTGTCTAACTTGCTCCGGCACCGTCACATGTTGTTCAGCAGCGACTATAAAACCCATCGTGTCCTGACATTTGCAAGAGTTTAAGGGGGATGAAATACCCAGAGACTCTGTTCTGACTTTAATAATGATGATCGTTATGCAGAGTAGCAGACCAAGCTGCTTTTACTATGCATCTTTGCATCTTGCTGAAGGCTTCTGTAAAGGCATGTATGTGAACGCCTCCTAAACGGCTGATGAACGAGACGATGAAAATATAACATTCTTTATATTTAATTCGGCTAAAGATGAGTGCACTTTATCAGTTCTGAAGACATAAATACACATAAATCACCCTAATGAAAAGCAAAGTCTGATTTGCATCTTTAGTTGCTCCACTGTAAGAGTCTGGAGAGCACATATGGACACATTATTGTGTGGGTTATCGTGTGGGTTGTTTGGTAAATCTCTGTCAAAACCAGTGCTGAGCTATATGGGCTGTTCAGGCACAGAGAGAGCGGTAAACAGTGACAGGCCATGTGTGTGTGAGTGTCGGTGTGAGTGCGTTTGTGTATGATCCAGCACAAAAGCACATCTGGGTAACAGACCATGCTGGAAAGTGAACAAACTAGTGTTCTCACTCTCGGGGGATGCATTCTTGTAAAACGAACCCTGTCCACTCCCTGCCGATCACAATGCTTGACTAAACTGACAGAAAGTCTAAGTCAAGACTTCCAGGTGGAACCACATCAGAAACAAAAAACACTGGGCTTTCAGGCCCCTTTTTCTAAAATAACACCCTGTCTTTTTCACCTCTGACAGATTCTAATGAGTCATGCATTTCTAAATTGAAGACTTCCCTCTGAGTCTTCTTCGAGGTTTGTTCATTTCTGGTTGTATCGCTTGAATTCCATTTGATGTGGGCAAATAGCATACAGCATACGGTCACTTAAAATGATCACTAAAACAGCTGTATGTCCTACCTGGAAGGTCACATCCCAGTATCTCCACTCTCATCCCAATCCCTGCTGGGGACCACCTCTCAGGATATAGCCTGATGTATTGGGCCACCGTCTCCTCAAAATGACGAAGCTCTGGGGTGTCATAGTGTGTGTTCCCTTCAAAGACCTGGACAAAACACACCATTGCATCGGTTACGGAACTTTTACCATGTGCACGAGCACAAAAATGGACGACTTGCTCAAACTTTCTTCACCAACCTTGGGCAGGCTAGTCTTGCTGTCCATGATGAAGTTCCAGTCCTTTGTATCTAGGCTGTGAGCCACTTTATACTTTCTCACAAACGCCCGGTTGTCTGTGGTCGCTCCACTTGCTGCATCTCCTCCACGTGCTCCTTGAGTAATGACTCCACGCACTGTTTTGGGCATTCCTAGGTCAACCTGGAGAGATTAAGGTGGGCAATTGGATGGTTATTTCAAGCAAAACAACCCATGGTTTTGTAGTTTTTAAGTTCAACTTCTTCTTTTTTCTAAACAGTGGAGTAGCAGGCATAAATACTCTTTAAAGGTGGACATATACAACAGAACTAAAAGCTTCTTGTACCTGAAGCCACTCCTCTCCGGCCAGGGGCTGTGAAGGAGCTGGGAACCAGCCGGAGCGACTGGCCACAAGACGGGCAGCTCCAGGATTCCAGACCATATCTCTGCTGGACGAGGCTGAGATCTGGGAATCAGGGAGAAGGCCGGACAGCAGGCCCTGCAGGTCTGAACATGGAGCATCTAGAGTGGAAAAGCAGAAAAGGGTAGAGATCCCTTTGCTTAGGGAGGGTTCATGGAGGCGTTTGAGCAATGACTTAAACTGTTGTTACACATATTCCCACCAGGGAGCTGTTAAGTTTTGCCACAGGATTGCACTAATGGCCAGGAACCTTTAAGAGTTCACACTTGAAACAATAGCAGAGGATGAAGGATGAGAGATCGAGGACGGTAAAACAAAAAAGATGTGTAACATAACACTACAGCTTCATGTTTAATGTGCAATTAGATGACCATTAGTCAGATAAAAGCACATGTTCAGCCTGCTGCCGTTGTGCATTCATGCACTTTGCATCTCACACTGATATATAAGTGTCTTTTAATGTTCACTTCATTGTGCCTTTATTTTTTCCCTTCCCACAGAACTGCACATTTATCTGCCTTCACCAACAGAGAGAAGGTTCCATGTTCATCTCAAGGCGCTTGGATATGAGACCCATTCAAATATGGATGGGTAAGTGGAGTTGAAAATAACTTGAGAATATGAAGGGTAGCAGGGTGGATTAAGGGGATAAGGAAGGTATAATACAAGGTGCTGGGAGGCAAAGAAGTAAAGAGCAGAAAGTGTGAAAAAAGCAAGGAAAGGAGAGCTGATGGCTTATAGAGACTGGGGAAAGGAATGAAAACCGAGATGAGACATCTAAAAAGAGGACGGATGGATGGGGCAACAGAGAAAGACTAGCATGGAGGCTGTTGAAAAGCATTGAGCAGTTGGGAGGATGTTAGTTGTGTTGACGGTTTAAGAGTGTGCAGATCAAAGTTTCATGCTGTTATGTCACTGCAAGAGCAAGGGATATAAATAATGAGTGAAAAAGATATGTGTGTCTGTGTACAATTCAAAAGATGTGCCCACTGTTGAGGCCATCTGCTATATTTAGAAACCGTCTGTGTGCAGTTGTACATGAGCTGTAAGAGTTAATAGTTATTTCAATAGCAGCTGTTGAGGTTGAATCGAATCACAGTTTCTGATGTAAGAGTGAACAGGGAGCCATGAATGATTGAGCAGAACTCGTTTCTCGACATGGAGGAGCTCACAGAGCAAAGAGGAGGCATCAAAAGAAGTTTCTAAAACCATGAGAGGAAAAAATGGGGGAGTTGTTGAGGGAGTTAGAGATGGAAAGTGAGTATGGAAAAGAAGCAGGGAAGCGCTGGAAGATTAAAATGACACTGGTGGTGCCTGTGGAAAGGAGAACAGAGTAAGAGTTTCCTATAATTAGCTGGAGGGCTGCTACATTCTATGCTAAGAGACACAAGGGGACTGTGGGAGACAGCCTCAATGGATGTGCATGTTTGCCAATGCACGGGTGAGATCCTGTGTGTTATGGTTTAGGAAGTTAAATGTTGGTAAGGTTGATATTTTTTAAAGTAAATTATATATTCATTTAAGAGTACAAGAAATATTTTCTTTCTCTATAAATACAAAAAAGGGGGTAACTGGCAATTTAACTTTGCTTTGGCAGAAAAGATTAGAGAAACCTAACCTGTAATCTGACATCCATGAAGCTCAAAGCGGAGGGCAATGCCATTCTTCCATGTCTGTGGTCGGATACGCACAAAGCGGGCCAGAACGGGCTGCGGAACCCGGTTCAGAACCACCTCAGCTGGATCGGTGTTGGCATGGAAAATCTGAGAAAACAGAGACATAAAAGCCAAGCATTGATTTGTTACTGTCACAGGAAGATTGACTCTCTTAAAGGCAAAACACGGATATATACGTGTCACGTTTTAGTATTCTCCCACAGTGCACAGTTTTGCTTGGCTTCACACACACAGTGGCAGTCCGGACAAAGCACAGACAACCCAAACACGGATCCAGTGACACCGTCCCAGCTGTCGACGTGTTCGGAGGTCAGGGGTTCAACATTGGGAGGCTGGGAAAGCCCAGTGAAGGGTAGTGTTTTCACCTCTTTGCTCTCTCTCACACACACGCACATAAACATGCTGCGAACTCAACGAGCTGGTGGCCGTAGGAAGCTGTGGGAGACATGACCTGACACAAATGAGCAACCGTTAGCCGTCAGACGCAGGAAGTCCACCCAGGTGGGCAGGATGTGAGTGAAATTCCCTTCCTAGGGAGTCTATCTGAAAGCATCAACATTCACTTCTTCTCCTTGAACACTCCCTTCCTTCCACTTGCTCTTCGGTGAGGGTTGTGCAGCCGGGTCAAACGGGGAAAAAACAAGCAGGGTGGTCATTTTCTTCCTGTTTTGGGTGGAAAAGTGACCTGCGATAGCCTGTGAGGCTCAGTGTTGGATCGGCTCAATCTTTTCTTCATGAGCCAGTCACCAAAACCTTGACTCCTAGTTAGTAATTATGAATGCCTTAAACCTATTTCCTTCCTCTTCCACATCCTCTCCCCTCAGCTCTTTGTCTGATTTCACCACACCATCTGAATCCCTTCATCTTAGATGCCAGGTTCTCCTTTAAGACTGCACACGTTATATCTCTCCACACCTCTTTTTTCACCCTGTGTGCTTTTCTCCCTCTGGTCGGCAGCTCCTAACTGAAACCGCACAGACACAGGAAACCACTGGAAACCCACACAAACACACACACACCCCAAACACAGGGAGATAAGCAAAGGAAGCTTCTTTTAACCGACTGAGTGACTGTTAAGTGTCATTCACAATGTCTGTGGTTGACCGTGGTGCCTGATAGGGGGGATGTTAATATTCCAGCAAAACACACAGGATCACAGCCTCAACACACAATGGAAAGATGGAGAGACAACAGCTACAAGCAGCTGAATTAAAGATGAAAGGTGTCATTTTTAAAATAGGTGCCTTTATGATTTTTTCTTTTACTCTCATCCAAACACCTGGTGATCAAACGCTATTCGTGTTCGCGCAGCCTGAAAATTTTAATGCACTGTTTAAAAAACAAACATATGCAACATAATTTTAGATTAAAAAAGTAGTGCGGTTTGCATGCATTTAAAACAATACAAATTTATGTGAAATGACCCATTTGTAAAATTTCCCCAACTCCCAAAATGATATTCCAGAAATTCCATAACCAGGGGGAACAGGAGTGATACGGCTTCAAAATCCCACTCAAGGGGTTTTATTTGATTTTGGGCATGGCCTGATTTAATCAAGTAGAGCTGACACTGGTAATACAAAGCAGCGTGAGTGTTTGAACAGATAAGCGGGGCTATCGCTGCTGTATCTGCAGTTGGATTGAGGATAGGCAGCTGGTCTGTTTACCTATGAGGCAAACCAGTGCATGCAGGCTCTTATGGGGGTTATGTAAACACCCACGCATGATCCCACAAAGACAAGTGTGTGAGGAAAGATCTGCCCTTCCATACAGCCAAGCCATCCTTACCGCTCCCAGATATTCTGCCTGTGAAACAAAGAGCTGTGGGGAAGAAAGATGGAAAAAGACAGGACAACAGAAAATGACTGCGGGGAGGATGGGTGCCCTCGGAAGAATAGTTAATACCAGATGAAGAAAGGAGTGGACGTGGGTTAGAGAGAGGACACGCAAAAGGAAAGGTTGAGCACAGGGCAGAGGATATAACTTTGGGATGTGGACGGAAGAATGTGGAATTATAGGCAGGGAGTGGTGGCGAGTAGGAACAACGAAAAGATTCATCATTGGAACAGGAAGTGCTCCATCTGAGTATTTATCTCTTAACAAGGCAATGAAGCCAAATTCAGTGGAATTTCCTGAATTTTGGAGAGAATGACTGGCGCTGCTTGAAGTTCTCTGGAAAGAAAACAAGATGGAACACGTAACTCGATTGATATATCAAAACGTAGTCCAAAGTTTGTAAAACTACCTGGGAAGCAACATTCTAATAGCCAACTTTCGCTTAAACATTATTTTAGTCAAAGAAATAATGTATTAAACATTATAAAATCCATAAAAAAATAGTATGTTCTAGTTAAAAACAGTCCAAATTTACAAGTGCCAATTGTAAAAAGAATGTGTTCAGAGAGTTGGACAACTTCAGCTTGTCAAAAATGTCGAGTTGTACAACATTTAACAAGAAGGACATAAGCTGCTTTATTACAGTGCTGCCAAATGCTTTTGTTTTCTTGTCAAATTTGGATAAAACGTTTGGGAATATGACCAACATCACTATTAAACAAATAATAAATTGTTCAGTGAGAATAAGCTCTGGAAAGGCTCTTTATAATTTTTTTTGTTTTTTTTGGTGGATTTATGGAGAGAAAGCACATTTCAATAGCACCAGAAAAGAGATAATTGCAGATAGTTGGGATGTTGCTACTCAGTCCCCTCCACTTCCTCCACTCTATTGTCAGGATACCTGAAAGGTTGCTCATCCGACTCTGACCTGTTACTTCTGAGGTCAAAGGTTAATGGCATTAGGAAGCAGATGGTTGGTCATTGACTAACTTGTTGATAGCATGGTTACTTTTTGACTAGCTAGGAATGAAGAGGGCAGCTGGAAATACTGTTGGAGGTCAAATGAAGCTTTCTATAGTGCATCTGTGCTTGAGTATTGATGGGGAGGAGGGGTGGCATGTAGACAGTTGCCAGTGTGTTGTCTGGAAAGCCGCTGTAATCTGCCTGACGACTGGCTTTTTTTGCTTGTGTTTGCCAGAACTCCACCCATCATTGGGGTAGGCTAAATAATTCATCTTGTCATGTTGTGTCTCGTCATGCAGAGGGTCATGAAATTATAACGAAGACCCCATTACACACACACACACACACACACACACACTTAGCAGTAAGCAATGGTCAGACACACCATGGGCACCACAGGTATTTAACTATTGATGACCTCTTTGAGAACGGGGTCACTGTGAAAGATTGTTCATTCCACTGAACAACCACCTCAATGGACCCTACCCTCCAGACCACCAAATGTAGTCAAAATTATCCAGCTTTGACATTGGGTGGATCTTCTTGATTCAAACAGTAGTTGTTTGTGGAAAATGAGGGAAGGATAAATATGCACAATGGGTTTGTTCAGTCACCATTCCTCTACTCCTCATACTCTACGCTTTTTTTGGCATCTGCTTGTGGTGGCCTTTCTTTGAGATGAAGGCACCGTGGGAGATGTGGTGTTTCTTTTTCATCCCCGTTTTGCTCCCTTGGTGTCTTTCTTTGTCCGTTTCACTTCTCAGCCCCCTCGCCCCCAAGCCCGCGTCCTGTTCTTCTGTATGGAGATGTTGACAGTAGGAACTGCTTCCAGCTGGGTGCTCTCCACACCTGTGGCAGGACCTTTGTGTGCGCACACATCACTGCCACAGCTACCTTTGGTCAAAAGCTCCCACTTGGTGCAGATGTTACAGATTGTAGCTCACCCTGCCAGTGTGCACATGAAGACTCATTATGAATGTTTACTACGCTTGAGCTTGAAAACACGGCTCGTGTACTGGTGTGGTTTATGGCACACAGGGATGAAGGAGCACACGGAAATGCTGTGCGGGCTGTTTTTTTTCCTGCTCAGGTTATTTGACAATGATGTGTGTGTGTGTGTGCAGGCGACAGATCTAGACCAACCTCACAATACTTCTCAGTAAGGCAAAGCCTGTTAAGCACCAGAGCTGTTGGGACTTTCCTCACAGTCACTCATGGATGACAGTGTGTGCTTCTAATGTTAATTTGTTAGTGCATACTTGCGTGTCTATACTAAGAAATATCATTTTGCGCTTGTATCCATGTGCGAGTTTGTGAGCGTGTGAAATACGCACTTCCTAAGCGTGTTAGTGACTCATCATGTAATGGAGTGCATATGCGAGTAGTGTGACTTGAGTTAACAAGTCACATGGGTGTCAGATTGAAAATGTGTTGAACGGCAGAGAAAATTACTCCGAAAAAAAAAGTCACAGAGATATATGCACACATGCACAAAGCCTGATTGTTGATACAAATCTGGTGATTTAAACTTTTTTTTCCATCCAATCTCTCTCTGTCAAATACTCAACACAAACACCGCACATACGAATTCACATCCTGACAATGAGGACAAAGAGCTTCCTCCCAGAAACAAATAGGTTGGACTAAGAACTCCCAAGGTGCTCCTGTATTCACAGTGGATTCATATCTAATGCACAGGCACTATCATGGCCCACCCTTTCACAAACAAACACGTAAAGTACATTACTGATGCAAGCACAATTCATAAGCCACATTAGCGTAAATCTCACTGTTAAATGACAATTAGAAGAACCAAATCCCAGTCATTACACGACCCCCTGAAGAGAACTGAGCTTCTACCACTTAAGGCTCTTTGGGGGGCTTAGGGCAGTCTATCTAGAGGTTTGTACAACATGACTGGTGGATTATCAGTCACGGAAGATTCAACCGCAGCCCACCGGGAATGGCGGAGAACCCGGCTGATGAGGGGACAGAAGAGCAAAGTGGACGTTCTGCTTTCATTGTCTAAACAAATGTGAACAACGGTGTTTACCTTGAATTCTGTCAAGATCCACAAACAGAAGGTTTTAGAACATCTAAGAAACCTTTTTTTTTTTACTGCTTATAGAGCCCAGAAACAACAAATCCTTGTGGATTTAAGCACTATTGCACATAAAATCAACTATTTCTCTTTGTTGGGATGAAAATCACATGACGTGTTTAATCATATCCATATTTCATGGAAATTATATCATTTCCAAAGGAAAAAAATGCATACACTTCCTAGTTTAAAAGAAATTCACATGCTCCCTGAATGGATCAGTGCAGCGGTCTACCCAGTGCTTACTGCGAAAGGGTTAGTCTTAAATCTCAAACTGGCACAATCATATCTTGTTCCCTTTAAAAACCACACTAAAAACTGAGAATGATTTTCAAAGCAGCCACCATAATACCTGCAATATCCACCCCAAATACATGCTTCTGCATCTGTCTGAATCCATGTCTGAATGTGTTCAAATCGGGTTTTTTAAATGCTCAGACAGATTATAGGACTCAAATTACAACGTGCAGATGGACAGACACACGTCATATACATATATACAATCACACGCATCTCCAGACAGAAGAGATCAGCCAGAGGTTATTTTAAGGGGGGGTGGTCAGGGGATTGTCTGTGTTTGTGAGTGTGTGTGTGTGAAAGGAACGGGTACATCTGGGGACTCTAATGAATTACACAGATGTTGACTTTTAAGTCAAATCCACATTTGTTCAATAATCTCCACATCAAATACCCCCCACTGGCCACACCCAAACCAATCATTGGCACGCACCACAGTGTGTGTGTGTGTGTGGGGGGTCCCAGTCTGAAAGGGTTAAGTGTATGTGGATTATTAATCCCCTCCGCTTTCCACTTTGTTTTTTCTGAGCTTGAAATCCACAGAGTCCTTTAGCAAGGAATGAGGAAAAAGAGTTGGAATCCCCTGGAGACATTTGGTGGGATCCTTACGGTGGCACATTCACGCACAAGTGTACGCACAAGCAAAGGACAATGGATACAGTGAGGCTTAATTAAAGGAGGCAGCACCAGCAATTTCCATAAATATGGTTGCTATGAATCTGTTTAAACACAGATCTGTTCACTTCACACCTGGAGTGACTCCAAAGAACTCACGAGACCAGGTGTGTGTTAACGTGTGTGTGTGAGAGAGAAAGATGATGAATTACAGGTGATAATAAGGGCACATAGAGGACTTCATTGTTCTTGTTTGTCAGGCCCTCCTTCTCTCTCTGCCCCTCTTTCTTCCCCCCTCCCATTCCCTTTTTCTCTATCTCATGACTGGGGTCATGACTCAGGTTCATAAACATCCTTGAAGGGAAAAGACTGCTTCAGGAATGCTGCATCATTTGATATGCCTCCTAGATGAACACAACAGCGTTGTTGTTGGTTATATTCCGTGAAAGGACCATAAACACAGAGTAAAAGGGGTCTTGTGACAACAAGTTAAAATCCTGGTCGGAAGCTTACAAATTCATTTTCATTTAATCCGTGATGTGTGTGTGACCTGGTTTTAGACTCGTTTTCTTTTTTTTTGGTGCTTTTTAAAAAATGTACTACAGTGAATAATTTGTGACTTTAGGGGTGCATAATAAAGCCTACCTTGTGGTTCTTGCCGTGCCGGTACACCATCCAGTCCTCTCCATTGGTGCTGACCTCTAATTTAAAGGATGTGACGTAGTAAGACTTCTGAGTCTCTTTGGATATGGCCCCCTGGGTGGAAATCCCTGTCAAAACTTTGAGGAAATGAAGGTCGACCTGAGAAGAAAGAGAACATCGTCAAAAAGTCAGGTTAAATATACAAGTCATCTTTGATAAACTGAATGCAATGGCGTGTGCTGGTAGTGAGAGCACATCTGAGGATCCGTGATATACGCGGCTGATGGAAATACAACAGACAGACCAGTGGCTCTAGTATTTTGTGCACGTGCATTGCCATGTGTGTGTAAGTGTGTAAGGTGAGGGAGGCTGCAGGTAAAGATCAATGGCGTGCTGTTCGGATGCATTCCAGGAGAGCACCGTCATCAATCATAGGCTTCTCACAGCTCTCCTCGGTGCTGCGTGCACGTGAATGCGTGCGCCTGTGTGTTTGAGACAGGCAAGATTGAGAGCGGAGAAGCACTTCCTTATCATCAGTTCACAGCTCCACCATTTCCTTCATGGGTGTGCGTGTATTCCTCACTGTGGAAGATATTGTGTCTTTCCTCTATCCCTGTATCGCTGTGACAAATTTATTGTCCCCCGCGAGTGAAAGTGGTCTTTAAGGTCACTTCACAGCTGGCATTATAATGACTGTTTATGATTTTGCTTGGTTACACTTGCCTCCTGAAATTTTCGTCATGTTAAATCTTTCCTGTGATGGATTTTCCAAACAAACTCATTTTTTTGTTTTTTTTTGGCAGGGCAAAGGAGTGAAGCAGTCCCGACAGGGGCTTAAGCTGCGGGCAGATACCTGGATGTACTCTTTGTTGCTGTCCTCTGAGGGTGTCCAGGCGTTGTCGTCGTTGTGGAGGCGGGCCTGGCGCGGTAACCAGCGGTTATCGTAGAAGGATGTGGAGGCTGTGATTTGATCATCGCTGATCTTTCCCGACTCCATACCGAGAGCCGTGCTGCAGTGGAACGCTGATGGGAAGAGGAGGGAGACGGAGACAGCAGTTTTAACTGTAAATCACATAAAAGAGCTCAATTAAGAGTAGAGAGAGCTTGAAATTAATGAATGATGCGGGAGGATTATAAAAAAAACAAATAGTTCTCAGTAGAATGAGAGTCGAGAAAGAATAAATATAACCAGCTAAAGAAAGGACAGAAAAAAAGGCTGCCAAACGTGTGAGTAGAGGTAAAATGAGGTGAAGTTAATTTCTGTTCCAGAAGAAAATAGTCTGAGAAGGAGGGGAAAAAAATGAGGGGTTAGAAAGAGCATTGAGACTGAAATAACATAAAAGTAGGCAAAGCTGAAAAGATCGAGAGGGTGAGAGGAGAGAAAGATGAAGAGAGACAGATAGGCGTCAGCAGAATTGACAGGAGAAAAAATTCTAAAGAAGAGAAAATAGAGATGGCACTAGAGGGAGAAAAAAACTGCACAGAGATCATTTGCTGAAGCGAACCCACTTTCTAAAAGTTATCAGGCACTCACAGTCGGTGACTTCTCTGTGTGTCATGTTGTAGCGCGCGGAGAAGCCGTCTTTGGCCACAGCCATGTCGGTGTGGAAGGAGAGGGACAGCAGGCCAGAGGACGACTGGATCTCTGGAGGGATCTTTGTCCCACAGTATCGGCCAATTAGAGGAGAGGCTGCAAACAAATCAAATACATGAAAACATGCATGTTTCCAGCAGATTGATACCGGAAAAAAAAAACTTAAAACGGTAACAGGAGGGTGCTGATGCTGATGTTTTGCAAGACTGATTACTTTAGCTAGATATGATGTTTAATCATTTAAAAAAGCACCTTTGTGAATAAATAACGGGGATAAGTGTGTTCTCTTGATTCAGCTTCAACAAAAGGATTGGAGTTGTTCAGGACAGGTTTCCACTGGCCATGCTGCTTCAGTGAGTGTCGTCTAATGAGTCACAGCATGCCCCCGTGCCCCCCCGCCCCCCCCCCCCCCCCCCCCCCATCACTCCTCTTCCCATCATTCTAAACTCTCCCTTTACTTTCCTGTTCATCCCTCCATCTGCCATGTGTGTCTCAGCCAGAGCCCAGCAGGGGAACTGGAATCCCTGCTTTCCGGCAAGCTGCACTGGGATGAGCTGCAGACTACTACACATACACTTGCACACAAACATAGAGGATTAAAATAGTCTCAAGACAGCCCCCCTGCCAGACATCAAATTCTTCACCCTTCCATCTCGTCTCCTATCCCTCTGCCTGAGGACTTAGCTCACTGGAACTGGGTTACACTTTAATTTGCTCCTAATTCTCAACTTTGAATGGTATAAATTGTTTTCAGCTATCAAAGCCACCAAATTCAGGGTTATAATTGGAATTTTAAATCCACTTGGATCCCTTTTTAGCAACTGAAAATGAAATAATTAGAGCAAATCCATAGTTCCTAGCATCAGGCTCTAAAAAAGGGGCATAAAAAGAAGAAAAGAAACCCAGCATGCAAGAGGTGAGAAATGATCCGCTCACCACTTCTAATGTGGGTTTCATCAGCACCATAGCGACCAACATTAGCCTATGGCGGTCACTTTCAAAGCCCTTGATAACATCCTCAAATGTTTTTTCCTGATCTCAGCTTTTGCCACGCTTGGCTCCTCCTATTGGATTCAAACAGATACTCATCGTAGCCGTCACTCTCACTCGCCTGGGGAGGAAGGAAGTGCTAGGTGATAAGGGGGGCGGGGGGGGGGATAGGAAGGGGGTGATGAAGGGTGTTATTATGGAGAGGGAAGAGGGCCATGGGAAAGGCCTGTTCCTATGACTGTTGAAGCACTTTCAGCTCCCTGTGTGAGTGAAAAATGTTTCCTATATGTAATGCAATAGAAAGTAAGGGAAAGGCTGCTAACTTCAAAGAAAGTGATGGCAGCTCAGGAAATTGAAGGCAGGGACTCAAATGTACTCAGCATAACTCAATGTGAGCCCCGCGTGTAACTTTTCAAAGCGTGTGGCTTCTCCAAGCATCTTGAGAGCGGTTTCTGTCCAGAGGTGAGCCCCATTGTGTCCCCTCACCTTGTGGAAGACCGTCCCAGACATCCAGCCAGTCGTACTTGCAGTCGCCCTCCCCCACCAGGAGCGGGTCGTTCTCCAGGTCAAACGTCAAGAAGGTGAGGGTGATGTCCATGTGAGGCGGGGCGATGATCATGTAGGAGCACTCCAGGTTGTGTGGGTATTTGTCTGGGAACCCTGGGGACTCGATCATGCCGGACGGGTTGGTGAAATTGCGGAAGCAGAATTCCGACCCTAAAAGGATGCAAGAATAAGAGGAAATTTAATAAATATCGGCCACATTAGTAGAGGATAGAGGCACAACCAATCGATCACACAGTGGTATCTAATCTAACTTGCAGACGGTGTTTCAGAGAGTCGTTCGTCACTGACAGCCTGCGGGAGTATGCATTAGCTGTGAGGTGAGACACACAAACACACAAAACTTATGATTGCAAATAGAGGAGAAAATACACGGTGAGAAAATGCTAAGATGGGCGTTGCTTCAAGCGATACGAGTCGCCTTAAAGCTGTCTGTGGGAGTGGTCTCTCTCACATCACCCTTCTCCAATCAGTGAGTAAGTGCTGCTGTCATTTTTTGACACACTGCATCTATAATTTCAACGGCATTCAGCAGACCACTATCACCATCTTGTTGTCTGACCTGCCCAGGGGAAACTCCGCCCTCTCTATTTCAGTGATACACAATTTAGCATCAGACTTAAAAGATCCCCCTCTGCTCTTTTTCATCCCTTCCAAACAAATGCACTCCAACACAATCTACTCCGTGTTCTTATTGGCCCTCGGTGTGTAGCTCACCCTCTCACACCTACGCACAAACACCGGTACACAGCACAAAACTTGTGTAATGGTTCTAAGTGGGCCCTTTGCGGCAGCACCCTATTAGCTATGTAGATTTATGCGCCCTGGGCGGCTCACCTTGAGCGGCAGCAGCTGTGTGGCTCAGATCATCTACCCATCAGCCACTGCTCCGCGTCCCACCGGGGAGGCTGAGTCACGGCCGAGTGTTTATGGACCGGTACTTCAATGAGGGTGGGAGAGGGCTGACAGTTCAGCACATGCACTCACACACAAAACAGACCAAGGACCTCGCTCAAAAGTCACACGCACAGCCTCATTCACAAACTGGGGTTATTTTCTGTGTGTGTTCACTCTCCCCTCCTTCCATCACAGGCTATAAACAGTTGGCTCTGGTCAGTTGTATGTCCTTACAATCCTCTATATTCATGCTTGCCCGAGGGACAAATATCTTCATGAGATAATGTTGCTAAGAGACAAGACTTTTCTTTGATCTTGGTTAATTGCATGGGTTTGTAATAGCTGCATAGTGACCTTTCCACACCAACCGATTGACTTTGAATCATTACTTGTCATGCATTTATTAAATGCACCGTATCTGCTGATGAAACGACCGAGATATGAGTAATTTCTTTGTGTTTTCATTTTTTTAAAAGATACAGCTATTCAGAGAGCTGTCTGTTGTTGTGGTACATCCCTATTCCTGGCTATGTTGGAAAGCAGATAAAGAGGTCAAGTTGACGAGGCTCATGGGAAAATCTGGGGGTTTTAAACCTGAGAAAGCAGTGTTGCATCCTTCAGCACCGCAGCAGCCCTTAGTACTGCCGGCCTATGTTTGATAACCAGAATTACATTAATGAAAGCAGCATTTAAAGCGCGCAGACATGTTAACTGAACCTTCGAGCAGCAGAGCATTCCTCCGAGGCACCAGCCCTTATTATCAGACAGCCCTGTAAAAGCAGAGGGGTCGACTGGCTGCTACGGCCCTCCCCTGTCTACACTTGGTTAATGGTGGAGAACTGACCCCAATCAGTGCTGTCAGAGAGAAAAAACTCAGGAGATGCACACCATGTCTCTTTTGCTTTGTTTTCCTCGTTCTTTAACACCTTCCCTGTATTCCATCTTTGTTTTTCATCTCATTGTTTTCTCTCGTTTGATGTATGCACTCTATATTTTTCATCCGGTGACAGATAGATGTATGTGTAGTCACACTTTCACAAAGTCTCTTGTGCTTTGGCAGCCACTGAATGTGTGCATTTGGTACTAAAGATGCCACAAACGCGTGAATCTTCCCCCACAAATCAGCATTGAACCTTTTGTGTAGACGCCAACGCACACACTGCAACATCAAAACGTCCGTGGATTAACAGCCTTTGTGCTAGAAACCTGCTGCCTACAGGCACATACGCACACAGAGCAAGGCATGTTGAAATATGATGATCATTTTCAGCAACATACAGGCCACGTCTTTCAGTGCCCTCATTGGCACACACCGCCTCGTTGTGCTTTGGATGTTGTGTCTGTGAGTGAACAGCATCAAGTTTACGAATAATTGTAACAGTAAATTAACCATTTGTAATATGTGCGTGTGTGTTTTTTTTATTTTGCTATGCCTTTTATCCGGCTCCCAACATGTGTATTAGTAGCTGGGAGCGCGTGTGTCTGAAGATGTGCGTAAGACCCAGTAACACACTGCCCTTGTTTTTTACAGGCCCGCAGAGCAGGAAAAACCCTCAGTCTGAGCACAGCTTGGCTCCATCACCTCCGAACACACCATTCTGTGCATAGACTGTCTTTTAGGCTTAGTGTGCATGAACATGTCGCCTCACACATTCTTAAGTCAGGCCCGTGTGTGTGTGCGTGAGTGTAGGTGCGTGTTGAGTTGTTGCTCCGTTACTGTATGCATGAAAAGCTTCGCCTTTCGTCAGTGCCGATCAGTTCACAGTATATGAACATGCTAAAAACAAGTCTCTCTTCCCCCCCCCCCTTTATTTCCTTGACCCATGTCACATGCACACGCTTGCACGCCGAAGGCAGACCCTGGTTGGTGCTCGTATCGCACCATGAGCTGCCATTTGGCAAGAGCTGTCTCCTGGCAATAAGTGGGAGGTCATGGTGTGAGCATGAGTATGTCAGTGTGACGCGGGGGGGGCAAGGGGGTGAGTTGCTGGGTAGAAACCGCTCAACACTCGCACACGAGTGCCTGATCCAGCAGCAGCTCCAGTTGTGTCGGGGTAACCCCTGTCCCTCCTCCCTCCTCCCCTCTCTTTCTCCCTCTCTCATCCCCTCCCTCATTCCTTTGCTTCTCCCAGACGTCTGTGTTCATCCACTCCGTTAACCCCGTCTCGTCTGCCATTATCTGCCCCAATCTTTTGCATGCAACTTACAGAGGGCTCACCTCTACACATGAGTGTGTGCTGCTCATCAACCACCTCACTGTGCCCTCCACCGGCCCGGCTCTGCCTGAAATGCATCCACAGGCTCGGGTAGACCTCTCTTGTGACACTGCTTGAGTTAAGCTCAGAGTTTCATTGAAGAAAACCTCTCAGAGCGGGCAAGGAGGGGCGCGTGTGCGTGAGTACATGTGTAAGGGGGCGTGCTGCACATGGGGGCTCAGGGTGGAGCATCAACAACATGCTCAACAAAACATGAACAACAACCAAGCTCATAAAAGAAAGAAAACATTCCTGGCATGCCATGGTGTTGGTACTATTGTGTACCCAGAGAGCAATGTGAAAAATTGAGAAATGTCCTCTGTTGGGTGATGAAATAATCAAATTGTTGTCTTCTCAAGAACCCGAAATTAAGACGTCAAAAAAGCATTCAGATGTTGGAGATCAAAGAAACTCATGCACCTACTGATCAGACTTAGTGTTTCATTTGAGGTAAGGTTTTCTTCATCAGAGATCAGCTTCAAAACACTCTTTTCCCTTGGTATATTCATTCTATTTCTGTATTATTTATTTGAAGTAATTCACTTCTTGTCTAGCAAATTAAGAAAGCGTTGTTATAGCAGTTGGGGAGTTAGAAGTGTCAAAGATGAATACAACATCACAATCAGTTATAGTAACACACTGATGTGAGGGTTGCCGTCCACTCAACAAGATAACATCAGTAGTACACATGGAGTTAGTGTTATGACTGGGCCTGGAAGGGGGGGGGGGTCTGCCTTGGGCTCCGCTCCCATTGTGACCCTGCATACGCTGCGGTCAGTGGCGGTCATGTGGGGGAACCAACACCCTGGGGTCCTCTCTGCCCCAAATTCACACAGGATTGGCTGCGGAGCGGCGTGCCTCTGTTGTGTTAGTGGTGGGCTTTGAGGAACAGGGAGAAGGGGGCTTCCTCGCCAAGTCTTCCCCGTGTAGCCGTGGTAACAGCATCAGCAGCACGTAACTGTGTGTACGTTAAAATGTCTAAGGGCTAAGGGGGGGGGGGGGGGGGGGGGGGGGTAGTGGGGGGCGGGGGCTGTAAGTCTGGGATGAATGAAGGGTTAAGCACGCATGAGTAGGACCAAAGTAGGCCACAACAATAAGGGGGAGGAGGCAATGTGCACACTTTCACTGTACAGCAGCATTAAGGCAAACATGTACTTTATGTTTGAGTGTGTGTGTTTGTGTGTGTGTTAGAAATGTGGGGTGGGGGATAGATGGAAGGATGTTGTTTTGGGGCAAACACTCACCCTAGCTCCCCTCAGGAGCCACGCTGATGGGTGGAGGGTCATTCAGGGTAGCTACAGAGTCACAGGTCGACTCCTGATCCTCCTTGCTGGAAGCAATTAGCCTTTACTGCACTGTACCCCCTTTACACACTACGCACACACATCAACGCAAACAGACCGCTTGTCCAACTCAAAATCCCCCGGGGTGGTTTCAGTCACTGCTTATGTAACAGGGTTGAATGCACAAAACAAAAACAAACCCCACTGTCATTAGCTCAAAATACAGGGAACACCACACATACAGGGAGTGAAAACCAGACACACAGCCTGACTTCTAGACACGGTGTGGTGGTGCTAGCCTGTGCTGTAAGTTGTGTCTGTTTAAAACAGGAAGGAAGCTGAGCAGACACACACACACACACACACACATCTCCCAGCTGTGTGCTCAGACATTTATCTCTGGACACACCCTTTAAAAACACATACAGACCCATAAACACAACGCTTGTACTGTACACGTGTGTTGGCTTTTGAAGCAGCAAAACACAGAATATCAGCAGGAGTAACATTTGCCCCCACGAAAGAGCAGCAACTAAAATCATTTGAAATTAATAACGCTGTGGTAAATAAACTAATCTCAGCCTGGGTGTCTGTGTGGCTGTCAGAAGTTTAAAGCTGCTCAGTGGGGACCCCTGTCCCGGGCCCGCCACAGTAAGACAAATAACTATGATGTGAGCATGGAGGCAGTGGAAATGCTGTAATTAACACTTGGCCTCAATCAGGCATCCAGAATACATTTTCGCTCTCTGACTCATTCATTCTTTGTCAGTTTGTCTCCCTTCACCCCAATCATTTTCCCACCAGGCCTGTCTCTGCTTTTTTTCTCTGCCTCTCACACACAAACCCAACATGTGCCTTTATCATGCCACCTCCATATAAACACACCGAATCTCACCCAGCAGGCTGAGTGGAACCACCCACACACGCAGGCAGCAGACACCTACAAGCGTTCACACACTGACACAATATCTTATACTCCCGAATTTACACCAGGATCCTATTAAAGCTATGGCAACCGCATCCCCCTTCCACCAACCTTCAATCCATCTGTGTGTGAGATAGATCCAATCTCTCCTATTACATCGTCAGGGTTCGAGCTGGTGGCCTTGGCAACAGAGCTGATCGTCAAATATGGGTCACATTTTTTTTTACAAGACACATTTTCCAAAGGCAGGAGTTGCAACTTGTGATATAAGGAATGCTTATTCCTAGTTGCTTTCTGCTTTTCCCGTTCCGGGCTTTTAAAACCAAGAGTGTGAATTTAACACCGTCGAGGAGCAACCTGAAATGTTGCCGGGATCGGTGAGGCGAGCACCAGGTAACTCTTCCAACATAAATCTTGCTACCCCAAGGCCAGTGGACCCTTCTACCATCTCTACTTCTAGAACAACTGCCACACGTACATCCCACACACCAAAACAAATATCCTCCAACCTTGCTTGCAGAGTGCACTTCACCCCGTGCACTGTGCAGACTTAAAGAAAATTCCATTTTGGAACAAACTCATCCCCATCAATCTATTCGCTTCAGCCTCTACCCATAAACCTTTCACCTTAAGGCCAACTCCAACTTGCCTTGGAGCTCTCTCCATCATCCCACAACAACCTCCCACACCCGCCCCTCCTCGTCTCCCCAGAGGAAGTCTATCCTGCTCCAATAAAACAGGCATTCCGAGCATGCTCTCTGCCAGCATAGTGGTACTTCAGTAGTTTTGCCTCACTTTATAACTTTGTTTACATGCCTGGCTGCCTCTGCTGATGTAAATTGCTGTGAGAGTGCTGGGGTGAGTGATTACAGGTTTTGGACCATTAACACAGGCGCAGAAAGGTGGCACGAAGACAAAATCATTAGCTCCGGTATTAATGCGCAATACAGCCCCGCATTGGATCAGAATGCTTACACAAGCCTGAAACATGGATCCCACCGTGATCTTTAAATACTTTATGATGTCTAAATCAAACAGCAGCTGTGACTGAAGAGGGAACAAACACGGTAAATTATAGAAAAACTGTGAAACCTTAATTATTGTGTTCCACTTCATTGCTTAATCATTGTCATTCTGTCTGAAAATCACTCGGTTAATGTTCCTCACCTGTTCTGAAGATCTCGTATCGCAGGGAGAAACCCGCCCCCTGATGGGCATAGTCAGAGACAAATCTGATCTGGACCGAAGGGCCAGACGAGACGATTGCTGCAGGAGCGATGTTGCTGCAGTGTCGGCCCAGAACATCCGCAGTGGTGGAGGTCCCATCACGGATCTCTATGAAATCATATCTGATACACAAAAACAAAGACAAAGGACATATTAGTTTGAACTATCATTATGATATTCTAAAACAAAGACACATTCCTTCAGACTTTGCACTAGCGGTCAGCTTACTGCAGGAGTAAGTTTAAAGGAAAACAACAGAAGGGATAAATATAGATGGGGTGGGGTTGCACAACTGACAATGCTTGTAAAAAAAAAAACAGGTGTGGACCTTCAGAGGTCAGCCTCAGGATAAGAGTGTCCAGCCAAAGTGCTTAAGAGTAACACAGCACGAAGACACAAATAAATACATCTGGCACAGACTTGTGTTGTCTGGCCTCAGATGCATCGAATAAATGTAGCTCCTCTGACCCAGTTTTGCCAGGGCCAAAACATTCCGATCTCTTTGATGACAGCCTGGGGCTAACAATCCCCAAATCACTGAATATTAGATCACAGGAACAAAAAATGGGGGGAGGGACATAATTCAAACAAAACATATTTGAGTGACGGTCTGCTTTGCCGAGGGTAAAGATGCAGGCAAACAGACAGCTGCATGGATTCATTAATAAGAGGGGCAAAAATAGATAGAGGCTCATGAAAAAATAAAGAGGTGAGGGCTGCCTGATGAAAGGTGAGGACGTCAGCAATACGGAGGATGAGGTGGAAGTTCGAGAGCACATTCAGGCTAAATAATTGTGAGGACTCATTTCTTATTAGCTTCCACATGCTTGTTCTTTCAAGTCATTATTGACCTTTGACAACTCAACTGACCCTGAATGATGAAAGCAAATTCTTGACTGTCAGGTCAGTGTCAGTGTGTGTGTGTCCAGTGTGTGAGGAAAAACCAAAGGGAAGCACACCTGGCTGATCCCGAATTAGCTCATAGTCAAGTGTGCAATTCCTCTGATGTAACATGACATGGACGGATCAAGGCAGTGGACTTTTCTGATTTATGGCTGTGTTTTGTGTTTTTTTGGGTCAAGGATAGGGCACTGTCTAAGAAAATGTTAGAAGAGAAAAGTTTTTTTGCAGGTGAAACTGAATATTCTTCACACAGCAAACAAGATGAGTGTTTATGCTGCTGCATATTTTCATGAGATGATACACGGCATTATACGTTTATGTGCTTTTAACACTCATATAAAATCCAAATGACCTTTTAAAGCAGCTTTGTGAAAAATGTACCATTAATTTAAATGACAGGTAGGATATTGCTCTATAATCAGACTGTCAGAGATGCTGAGAGACAGCTCTTCTCAGCATAACCTCCGATAGATGATACTGTGGCTTTGTTGTGTGATTTGAATAGGTTCATCACGCCTAGAAACAGCAGCTTTTAGCAATGATAATTTATGGTTGTGGGAATCTAATCTAATTTGTGTTTGTTGATGGCCTGGAGTGCTGTTTCAAGCAAGTCTCAGTCTATTTTTAATGATGGTGCTCTCCTGACACAGGCTGTCAGAGGCAGAGCAGTCTCCACTTTTCGGTCTCTTTTTCTGAAGCACGTGTTCGTTAGGGCGCCACACATCTGCAATTTCCCACTAAATAGGCATGTTGATGCGTTTTACATTTCACAGCAGTGGATGATTTCCTCCTAATTTCAGTCTCCATGATATCATCCCTGTTCCTGGCGACGAGCGTCTCTCATGGCCACACGTTGTGTTTCCCTGTGTAGCCCACTGCTCGCCGCAGGAGTGCTGAAGCGACACTGAGGGTGCCCCCCAAACAAACAGACATGGAAACACGCTCCTCTGAATTAGTTCATGTGAAGAAGCTGTCAAATAACAACAGAGTCACTGTTGTCTCGCTAATTAGTGTGATGGGCTTTTTGGCGGGGGAAAAGCATCACAGACGTCTCTGGTTTTTAACTCGGCATCGTATCCTCGCTTATAGAAAAAAAAAAAAATCACCTTTCTTTTGCTGCTGCAATAAAATGGTAAGTATAAACACTGAGACATACCAATCAGCTCAGGGCTATGGCTGTTTGTGGCATCTAAGTACTAAGACGGCTTTGGTACTGTCAGCTTGAAATAAAACCTGGATTAAGTAGAGTCTCTAAGCCTCTTTTTTGGCCATCTTATTCCTGCAGTGCATTGATTCCCATACTGAGCATTCAAACTAAGACTGCTGATCAAGGGATAATCCCAACACATTAATCTGGGGCATGTGGGTCAGAGTGGCATGTGTACAGGTGAGGATCAAAGCATGAAATTGGTTTGATGAGCCTGTAATGTCACTACTTCCACCACCATGCAAGCATGTGAGCAAACAGATGGACAAGTTCAGTCTAAGTAAATCTTTATTGAGGTTAGAAAGCTATGATGAAGTGGTTTTGAAAAAGGAATTAAGCAAAGTACTCGGGTTCTGCTTTTACGAGGAATATTTTTCAGTAAAAGCAAAACTTTTAAAAAATAAGGGCAAGGGTCTCACAAAAAAGTCAGTTACTTTACTTATGCTCAAAATGCAACAAGCATTTCTGGCAGCGGACAGACAGGATTCAGTCTTTCTGTTTGTTCCTGCAGCATTTGATGGTTGAGCATGAGCTGCACTCGTTTAAGTGAGTAAAGGAGCCGTTGTCCAATTGTGTTATACATGTCTTGCTTGTAATCCTGCATTACAGAGGCGATCGGAGAGGCTTTAGTGGCCAGCTCCCACAGAGAGTCTGGAGAGCCACTGCATCCCTCAGAGCGCCGGCTTAGGGCTGTAACCGACACACATTTTTGGGAAACACACACTCAAGAATTGTGCCAACAAACTCACATGTACAAGATAGACATGTACACACAGGGAGATATGGGCAAACACAGTCGTGCACGTATACACTCAGAGCCGTATCGCCGACACTGAGGATAAAAGGCGCGTGAAAGAGCTGAGAGCCTAATTAGGTTTTAATTGATTTTGGAGTGGGTCTCTATCCTTCTTTCTGTCTCCCTCTCTCCTGTCGTGGATTAGCGTCAGTGAGTGAGTGTTCCTCAGATGTGATTATTGACCTGTTCGCTCAGCCTCTCCCTGGGCTCTGATGAATACATGTATGAGGGCCTGATGTGTGAGAGCCCACTGTCTGCCTCTCTCAAACACACACTTGAACGCATTCCAGGACATTGCACACAAATCACTAGCGCATGCGCGCTCACGGACACGCTTGCGCCCGTAAAAACACACATTAACATTAGCACTCACACATATGAGGAGACAGCCCCCATGCACACTCGGATTCCATTAGGAGGTTGTTTTGGACCAAACGGTGCCTTTTTTCTGTCTGTCTGACACCATCCGTTGGCCTCCCCCAGATTTCTGTCTGTCTGTCTGGGCCTACATGAGCAGCCGTGTGTATGGGGAGCCATAACAAGGCAGCAGTTTCACCCTCCCTCTTCTTCCCCTTTAGGGAATAGATGGAACAGAGGGAGAAGGGTTAAGGAAACTAAAAACCCTCAAGGGCCAGTAATTCTGCACTGGTCCAGACATGTCCTCTCTTCCTTTGCTCTCATATATCACTCCGCCCCTGCGTCAAAGCGACTAATTGCCTTTCACACCTTTGCTGTTTGCCGGCGACCGGGGACATTTCCTGCAGCCAGCAGCACCTCCATTCAGCCAAACATAAGAGAGGCATGGAAACAATGTATGAATGCATATTTTACATGTCTGCCTTTAAAAGCCTTTAAAAGCCTAATTTGCTGAGTGAGTGGTCATTCTATAATTCAAGTGATCAGTTACAGCCATGTTGTTTAATATATTTAGTTTTACTCCCCCCTGCTGTTGCCTTTTTAATATCTAGAGTAGTCAGCAAAATGCCTCTCTAATAAAGGCCTGTTTGCTAAAGATATATCTTGGGACATTGCATTAAACTCACTTTAATTCAGCTTGCTAAATAAACATATTCACTGGAAACTTAACCATTTCAGAAAAGATGAACTAAATTGTTGTGGTGCGTCATGGTTGTCACACTGATTTTATTTGTGCTGATAAAAGAGCAACAGCTGTTCTTGAAAATCAGTAACGCAGACTTGGCTGCACTCACACACTTGGGGTTTTCATCTCAGATGGTTTTCTTCTCTGCTGCTCTGGTGTTTTCAGGCCCCCCTTTTCTACTTTTAGAGTAACCCTTATCTGGTAAACAATGAAGAGTCATCTGTCGCTTCTTTCATCCCCCTGTTGATGACTGGAGAAGAAGAATTTAAGTAATGCACACCAGCACCTCCTCCCCCCTCAAAGGGGACTCTAATAAACTGTAAGTGCCTCTGAAATATTAACTAGATGCTGCAAGCAAAGTCCCAGCCGACCTGCAGGGGCCTGCCATCTTCAATCTAGCCCCAAAACAAATAGTACTTCTCCTCCTCATCTCCTCATGCCTCACTGCCCGCCTCTGCTGTCCATCACACATTCATACTTGCCGATGACTTAGGCCAAACCGCTGACCACAGAGCGTCTGTGCTGGGCCCCAGACCGTCTAAAGCAGCATCGATCTGAAACAGCTGACCCCGGCCGGAGCCCTGACCCCCGCTGCCCCTGCCCAGTCCGTTTTAAGGGCTTCCCAAGTAACATGTGAGAGTGACAGAGCTTCTCTCGAAGTGTTTAGAAGTTCATCCACACGCAAAATGAAGATAATTGTCTCCCGACAGACGAAGACACAGCGGCAGCTGCACCCGGCTTTAATCCCACCGCTCTCCTGCAGCTCTGGAGAACAAATGACCAAAACAAGTGTGTGAATACTTGGATAGTTCCACACACTCATTTAACAGTCATTCTGTGATGCAGTGACTGCTGGGCACCGACAATCACGATAGGCTAAGAGCCAGATATCGACTGATCAGATCCCGAACAACTCCCTTTAGTGGTGACCTGTGGGAACTCATCTGTCTCTCATTTCACCCTCAACCATTCTTAATCATACTTCTCCACTTCGTGTCTTCTCCACTATCTTTCCTTCTGGCTATTGCTGATCATCTATTGATTTCCCATTATAAGGGGAATACAGACATTGATCCCACACCTCTAAGCTCCCCTTGAGTACCAGTAGGAGGGTGATATCACACACAGAAAATCACACACGCTCATGCAAACAGGAGCTATGCGTTGGTGACACCTCTCATTGTGAGCCGGCATGTCACAGACCAAGAGGGAATTACAGCTCTGTGTGTGTGTTTGTGCCTGTGTGAAGTTATGAAGTGATATCATAAATTCTCTGAACCTCGGGCAGAGTTCCATAACAAATAACCAAATAAAAGTCAGGAAATAAAACCCCTCAAGGTAGGAGAAATGGATCTTGTTGAATGGGCGCGTGTGCGTGCGCTGTCTTCGTGACTGTTTCAGTGTTTAATTTGAGCGTGTAAAATTAAAACAGATCCTCCTCCGGCTAGAGGAGAGGGACGAAAAAAGAAGAACAACAACTAAATCTGGAGAAAAATGAAGCAATAGAGAAAAGAAAAACAGAAAGAACAGAGAAGAAAAACATAGAGAAGGAGGGAGAATGGCCTCCACCTGAAGCTGGTCTTTCTCTCTTCCTCGGCAGCTCCCGGTATATCACTAGGTAGCATCCTGGGGCTCAGTGATGGCAGATTGCATTAGAGATATGGGCCTGATATTTCATCTAGCCTTTATTACATTTAGTTCACATCAATCGGCTGGCAGCCTGGAGGTAAGAGCTATTTGGCACATGGCCGGACTCCCCCTGAAATGAAATCCTGAATTAAAGTGCCACCTCAGACGTGGAGCGCCTGCACCAGGCTGCCGATTTGATTGCTGCAGTAGAGCCGCGGTTTGGCTACCTCCAAGTGCTGACTGCCTGGACCCACTGAGGGAAAATCACCAGCTGGCTGGGGATATTAGCCAGAGTTCAGAGCCCATGCCTGGGCTGACCAAGCACTTTTGTTGCTTTTATGAAGGTTTAAAGTGTCCAGGGAGGGGCTGTGATGGCTGACGAGGGCTTTCACACTGACAGGTTGCATCCGTAAGTGTGTGCGTGCATTTGCGTTATATCCACCACAAGACATGTTCATTTTCTATCTTTAGGATCACGCTATCATCTGTGTTCTTTCCCTTTCCATAATCAACACTCTACACCACAAAACTCCACCTCTTTTAAGCAACACAGCTCTATTTTTCTCTCTGCTGCCATGCACCCTGCACCTCCACACCTACCTGACTCCCTTCGTCCCCGACCACATGGAAGACTGTAAAAACTTGCAAACGTGCACTCTCTGCTCCCTCACTCGCACTGACTAAGCTAATAATACAGGGGAAAAAAAGGAAGAAACCTGTAACAGTGCTGCAGGGCTCAGGATCAATTCAGGTAAAAAGCATAGCACAGGATGGAGACAGCAGGAATATCGAACTGTAGTGCTTTGCTTATTCTCGCGGCTATTTCAGTGCCTCAAAGGGAAATGCTTCTCCCATAAAATGCAGAACATTAGCGTTAAAAGTCACGCATGCATAAATGCTGCTGTGATTCCCTGTTTGTCAAATGGGACTTTGAGATGGGGATTTTTCAGAGGCTGGATGGATTGATGGATGGAGGAAAGAGGTGAGCGGGGAAGCTTATCATACAGGCTAACATGCTCGTTTAGCTGCTCACATGAAGAAGCCCACCCACACTCACTATCGCTCCCTATCACACACACACGCACACACAGAAGTGAACCTGAGTGGGAGTGTGTGTTTGAGGGTAGGCCGAGGTCTCTTATCCCTCCAGGCGAGTGTTAAAAAAAAACTGCAAAAAAACAGTAAAACTCTCCATGGAAAGGAGGAAAAAAGAGGGAGCATTTGAAAGTTTTTCTCTTCCTCTGCTTTCCCTGCCTGCCCTGGGCTGTGAGAAACTGCTTGACACACAGCTTATCAACAGCTGAGCCATTCCTCTCCCAGCCACGGGGAGCGGAAGACCACGGAGCAGCGGCGTTTGCACTGTGACGCTGGTGTTAAAGCCGGGGAACATATTGCAAAAGAGATAAGTGTGCACCATTTTGCCTTTGAGAAAAAGAAAAGAACACAAAACCCGGAGATACAAAGGGCAGAGACATCAAAATAACATTTCCAGTTCGATGCTGCTACATGACACGACTATGTGAAAAGAGCTGACAATCATTACAAAACCCTTTTTACAGAGCTGCCCTTGAGGTGCTCGTAAAAGTAGGGTTTTTTTTAGGGCCAGATTTGTTAGTAACAACGCAGGAACACCCATCTGGGACTATTAATTCTTGAATAAAAGAGGAAAGTATGGAGCTGGAAGGAGGAATGGAGAAACAAATGGATGTAATTGGAAAAATGGTCCAGATGCATCTTGTGTTTATTTTGCAGACTAAATTGAGTCAAAATGGGAAGATTTGAAACATTTTCCCTGACCTCTTTGTATAAAACTGGATTAAACAATGGAGACTCTGACTTCTTCCAAGGATTGAGGTCAAAGACAATAGAAGACCATATGATTTAGCTTATTCGTGAGTCATGCCATGAAAAGGGAAGCTGACCAGCACAGTTCTATTCGGATAAACAGCTGGGCCCCATTGCCGCCTTCCACTTTTTCAACCCCTCCCTGTTTATCCTCTTTCTCTGCTTTGACAACCCCCTCAAAATCCTCTATAATTCTTCTCTTTCATCCTGTTTGAGATTCTCCCTCCGAAGCCCTGCATACCAATGCTGAGGACATTTTAACAGGCCGTTTGAGTTTTAGATGCATGGGGTTTCAGTTTTACAGTCCTGATGATGTCAGATTGATTAAACTATTTACTTTTTTGGGTTGAAGCACATCAAAACAAAGACATCACCAGGCATGCAACATACTTTTAGGTCTTTATCACAAAAGTGAACAAATTACAAAAACACATGTACCAATTATGGATCCATTTGAATAATACTTTCCATTCCTCAGTGCAAACATAAAACAAAACAACAAAATCCTGCAAACCATGTCATGTGGAAACTGAAATGAGCTACATTTCCTCCGTCTAAAACGGTGAGGTTTACTGTTGCAGCTCTCATGCCCTTGAGCAAGGAATTTAACCTGGTAATTGGTCTGAAGAGGCCTTCAAAAGGCCAAAGCCAAAAGAGAGTGTTGTGCTGTGCAGCATCCAGAAATGTGTGATCAGTGCAACGGTGTGGAAGCAAAACAGAAAATCACAGTCATGCTTTTACACAAAGCTTATAATTATACTTTCCCTCACAATTGACCTGATGGGAACAAAAATGTGGTAAATATTTAAACAACTTGGGGTCAAGCCAAAACACCACCAGCAAATTTGAATTTTAGGTTTTAAAAGGGGACAAATGCTTTTTGGTCAGAATAATTCCACACAAAGAAATGTCTGGAGGGCTATTTTTAGTCAAACAAAGAGAAGCATGGACTTCACACTCATGCCAAAGCTCCACAGCTCTCCGCCTGATCTTACTTGCAGTCGAGCCTCTCGATCTCAAAGTGCGGGTTGAAGTTGAGGACGATGCGCTGGGTGATCTCGGGTGCAGTGATGATCCAGTGGCAGTTCTGATGAGGGGGATACTCTAGAGGGTAACCAGGGGAGGTGATGTAACCGGCTTCACTGGCATCTAAGACTCCTCCACACTCTGACAGGGTTGTGAAGACAGAAACAGAAGGAAGCCGGTTATTCAGTGCAATTAAAAAACAAAATGCAGACATTTCGAAACACCGTTAAGTCATTCGTATGGTGGTTCTAACATGAACCAAATCCACTGCAAACATGAATGTTCACTTGCTACAGTGGCAGCTCAGATGGTGCTCCATTCCCCCCATTTCCCTACATGAAGACATGATGAGCAACAAACAAACGCGAAAACAAAGAAAGCAATTTATGCTGGCAGTGTGGGGGAAATTGGAAAAAAACTTCTCCATTGTGGATTTGAAATGAAAGCAGGGCCGCATTGGTACGCTATTAAAACAATAAAATGTCATTATTGTGGAGTTGATGAACACACACAGGCAGGGGAAAAATACAGAGCCTTTTTCACCCTCTTCCACACCCAGGCTCTTATCTCCCCGTTTCTCCATTGGGATCATTCCTCCAAGTGTAATTGTTGCTCCGGCAAGCCAATCTGCAAACATTAGGACACATTCCCTGATCCTATCACGCTCTCCCAGGAACAATAGCCTGCCAATAGCGTTGCTCAGCAGGCTTAGACAGGAAGTGACACACAGACGGCCTGTCTAGCGGGGTTCTGAGGGTCACCCCGACTCTGTAATGAGAAGCTAACACTGCAACAAAGGGCCCATTCTGCACTCACACCCTGACGGCTATAGCAGCTTTGCGCTTTGTGTTATCTCTCACAAACACACAAACTCACATGCTCATATAAAAAGAACACGAATACGGGTATTCTGTATGCACTTGTACAATAAAAATCCAGCGTGCTCAGTGGTTGTTCTGACTTTTTATTGTGATATGTTTTACTCCAAATATTCTCCATGACAACAGCGGGCGGTGGTTTAGCTCTCCTCCATTCTACATGACAGCATGGATATGTAAGTATGTGTGTGTTTGCTAATGCTCCAGTGGGATCACTAAATGTAATGAACTTTATATTGAACTCAAAGAGCCTCCACAATATTGGAGCTGGTGTTCGATGGCCGGGAAAAGACAACATCTGACGGGGGGGAAGAAAGCATGCGACAAACTGAATCTTATGCTGTACCTACCTCCATTAAAAATTCAACACTTAGCGTTAGACTTCACCATTCAGCCACTGCACTGAATCTCTCGTTGACGTAAATGGGTTGATATTTTTGCCTCTTTCTTTCAAATTTCTGAGAAAGCTTCGATAAAGGAAGCAAAAAGAAAGAGGCAAAAAAAAAAAAAAAAAAACAAGCACCAAAGGCTTGAAGTGTAATAGACCCTTCAAGTGTTGACATTTCCACCGCCTATTGTGCTTAAAAGGCACACTTAAGATTGTCTGACATTTGATAGAACTGCGATGGCTTCCTTACTTTGTTACTGGAGAGGAGCTACGCCCGCGCTCACATCAGCCGCGCACAGCTGCCCGTGGCTCTGTGCACAGATAGGCACGCCGTGTGTTGCAGAAACACACAACAGACACACAAGCTGAGCTACAGATGCACACAGGCCGGCACTCACAAGCGCGCAATACCACCCGCGCACCCACACAGCTGCTGCTGCCCGCCCACTCATGGGCACCTCGAAGAGGGCCTGTCAATCACCGGGGGGGCCAAGGTGGAAAACATAGCTAACTGGATATAGCTCAAAAAGATAGCAGGGATGGCGAGGAATGACTGAGACAGACCGAAATCCCCCCCACACACACACACAGACATCTCTTTATCTGCTGTGACTGCGCAGACAGACAGTCATTGTTGGGAAGCCTGAGGAGGAACGGCGAGCAGGAGGCTATCGGTGTGCCGAGCCGCGGCAGATTAAGCCCTTTGGGGAGAAATCCTGCACCCTCGACACTTTTTCCCTGAGCTGCCCATTCTGTGGCCTCCAAGGAGGACGAAGAGTCAGGGTGGAGGGGAGAGCTGCAGAGAAAAGGATTACAGTTGGGAGAAAAATAGAAAAAAGGGTGGGAAAGCGGATGAAAGCATAGATGGGAGAAGGGGGAGATGAGTGAGGATGGTGAAAAAAGATGGAGGACAGAGGCAGAAGGGGGTAGATTGATTGGAGGAGGAAGAGGGTGAGGAGGGTAGACTGGGTTGATGTACGACGGACGGTGAGAACTCATCGGCGGGAGAGAGGAAGAGGAGGGGAGTGACAGGCATTTGGAAAACAGGTGATGGTGAGGGAGAAATACAGAAGGTGAGGAAGGAAGTGAGAAGGATACAGAGTGTGTGCAGAGAGCCTGACGAGCCTCATTAAGACATGCCTGCGATCCAGCGGCTCCCGGAAGACACTGACCCCGCCGGGAAACCTCTGTCAGTCAGCGCACGGGCGTGGTGGCAGTCCAGCAGCCGCTGAGAGCTAAAGGCTAACGCTGCTGCTGCTGATATATACAGATATATTCTCCTATTTTCCTCACCAGCCATTGCAATAAGTCTAAAAGATGTGTATGAGTGTGTGCTGCTGTGCGTTGTGTGTTTTGGGGGGGGGGGGAACAGAACTTGTGGTGTTGGCTGAGTAACAGAGGGGAAGCACTCGGGAGCTGCCAGAGAGCTCCATGAATTACACTGTCTCTTCTCGTAGAGCAGCCCATCTGTCTACACACTCGCACACACACGCACACAAGTGCCGCATATGTTCCAGCCATGCAGGGACCACAACCCTATTACACAGGAACAATGACACTAGTATCCGAGTGTGTGTGTGTGTGTGTACCGAGAGCAAGGGTGTGTTTGCGGAAGCACACTGTGCGGATACGCTTACAATTGAAATCGGACCAAAATACCATCCACATATACGCCTTTTAAAGCGGCGCAATCTATTCTGAGCAGGGATTGTATCAATGAAATAAGTGAAATCACACTCTGCATGTGCGGGCGTGCACATTTTCTAGTCACTCCCAATCAAGTCAAACGCAGAGATGTCTTTGTACCAGCTGTGGGCGCCTTTATCTTCATTATCTCACAAAATGTGCATATGTCTGCATGTCTTAGCTCCCGTCCAGAGTGTGTGTGTGTGCACGTCCGCGCTCCCATTTCTATTAGCTGCCTTATCAGGAAAGCATGGCGTCATGCTCTGGGATAAGCTGCGAGTGTGGGGAGAGGCGCTGATAAATCCCTCCATCATTCCTAGTGTCTTGTGCCCTTCCCATGCCACCCCACCACCACCACCTTAATTAAAAAGTGCTATCACCCAGAGTGAGGGAATATGAGGGGAGAGTGGGCAGCACTCATCCATTCAGCCAAACGGTTAGGGTTGACTGTGACTGTTTTTAATCTCGCTCCCGCTCCACAGTGGGCTGGACCCGAAGAGAGGGAGAGAGGTGGAGGGATGAGGAAAAGAAAACGATTCACCTTCACACCCATTCTGGAGGATGGGGCTCTGGAGTAAAAGAAACGTCGTTGTATATGTTTCAACACAATTCTTCTGCTGCTTTTAAAGCTTTCTCCAAGTAATTTTAGCATCAGCTACACTTGTTGGATGTATTTATGGGTAAAGTGCAAGTTTGCTTTCACAAACACAAGAAGCTAAATATAAAACTGGAAAAACCAATTGCATGAAATATAACGACATTCATATATAATTATGACCACATATGTTTATAGTTATATATATTCAAGTAGAATGATAAATTACAAAAGCAAATTTCAGAAACAAAAAAACAATTATATTAATCTGATAAATTAAAGAATTATTTACAGATTTTCTTAAAAAACATTAAACCATTATTGTTTTGAAAAATTGCTTTTCCATGTGTTAGGTGAAGTGTGTTCTTCTGCGTTTTCTGATTTTGTTGTCCGTCTATGTGTTTGTGTTTATGTGTTGAATTTCGCACCTCTGATGGCGCTGCGGGATAAACAGAAAGCACAACGAAAATGAATCAATTCAGAACTTAGCTTTCGCCCCGAAACATTGCAGATGAGTTTTGTAGACTGAATTACTAGACACTGATCAAAATATGCCTATTTTTTTACTTCCTTCTGCCATCTGAAATAAGCATCAGAGAGAGATCAAACCCAGTTTGACAAAGAGAGTCAACTGAAACTCTAAAATTGATTAATAAACTTTGCATTTAACTTGGATGCAAAAATAGATTTGCTCAGAAATATTCATTATGTCCCTTTATGGAATCCACATTAATTAGTTTAGCAATAAATCCATCTCTAAACTAACAGATTTAATTAAAATGGAACAAAAGGGACAAGAGCAACTATGAGCTCTGGAATGCAACACGCAGAAACAAAAGCATTTTGTTAAACAGTGCTAAGTGAGTTTAGAGGAGGCTCTCTTAAGAACTAACAAAAGCCACATCAAAAGTAAATACAATCCCTAAATCCTCTTTTCCTCTCTCTGTCTCCCATTTCTTGCTCCCTCTCAGCTGCTCCCTCCCTAACAGGATAAGTGTCCCATGCTAATCAGCTAAATGCACAGAGCTGGCCATCGTGATCAATGGCTCAATGGATCAATGGAGTAACCAGATGGTTGCTGGTGTCTGCGGGAAGGCTAATGCTGCGGGCCTAATCCTGACCACTACCTGACTACAGTATCATGTCTCCTCGTCCCCGGATGCACTCCCTGATCCCCGAGTGGCAGCGTCAAACCTGCACCACTAAGAGACTTTTTCCATGAGCTTTACCCGTCTGGAGTGGAAACAGCCGAGCAGACATCGGCAAGGGAAGCTGTGAAGAATTGAGCTTTGCTGCAGGAATCTAGGTGATTTGTTGCCACCTCCCTCCCCCCACCTCACAGAGTGTTACCTTTCAGCAGAACCGACTCCTCACAAAATTCCCTTTTTTGTGTGAGTCACACTTCTCAAAGCTGTTCCATCGTCAGATTCTCACCAGCCCGGAACCTTCTTTAACCCCGCTTTGGAAACAGCCAAAAGGACATTTAAAACACTTTGCCTCTCGACAATGCTAACCCCCCTCCAGCCCCCGTCTAAACCCATCCCTGAGCTCCACTTAAGACCCCCTATGCGGCTAATGCGACAGACTGAAAGAGCAAGCTTTGTTTTATTTATGGGGGTCTTGTTCCTAATTTCACCCCGAGTACAGCAGGCTGTCTCAGGGCTTTGCGGGAGCCTCAGACTCATACCTGACCGGTATCGAACCGGCAGCTCTGTTTGTCTTTGGCTATGAATGCTAATAGGTGACCTTGTTTTTGCAGCTGATACCTCTGAGCCTGGGTGGATTAAGACACGGAGAAATGCAAAGAACTGAGAGGTGGGCTTCCCAGGAGAAGATATAAGGCCAATAGAGGTGATAAGAATTCATTCAAGAGCTCAAATTTAGAGAATTATGAAATGAATAGAAATCCAACTCTGAAAGAAGTTGATACCATAGAGGGCGCACAGCCACCCAGTCAATAAACATGCAAATGAGCTGCCTAATGGTTTGAATATTAATGCATATGGTGCAGAGTAATTAATGTACATGTCACTGAGTCAAACCATTGTGATTACAGTACAAGTGGAGTGGAAGTCTCTCTGCCTCGGATTGGAACATAAATCAGGTCTCTTTTCTCTTCCGTATACAAGAGCCAGTGGTAGACAGCCACAGCTAAAATTTTCACAGCTCCAAATGACAACCTGGAGACAGTAAGAGATGCCGGAGGCGTGCATCAGTTTGTTCCGAAACATTTTAAAGGAGCCCCTTCACTTTGCAGATGTAAAGCGCAACAACCCACAGCGAGTCTACCATCAAAAGCACAAACGGTGGAAAGCATAAACTTTTGATGCGACTGGAGTGTGCTTAACTTTCATGAAAATATCATTTCCTAACAGTGTGGTAGAGAGACATCCCCCCTTTCATCTCCAGCCTCCCGGTAGAGCTCTGGCTGGGATTTTTACCCCGCATTAGCTGTGTCACCCCAGATGATAGTGTCACCTGGTAACCCTTAATGAGATCTGGTCCCTGCATCCAGTACCATTTTAACTCTCTGACCCCTGTAATGCTTTGATGTTGCCCTTTCCTCTCACTGTTCAATGCACAATCCCCCTATCTCCTCTCCCGGTGTTGCTCTTCCCTTGTTGCTTTGTGTTATTGGCTGATGGATGGCACACTCACTCAACTCTGCCGTGTGACTTCTCTGCGGCCACTGTCTCTTTCCATCTCTGTCCCCCAAAAGCTCCCTCTTTTCTCTCCTTCCTGTGTTTCGGTTCTGCTCACTGTCATTCTCCCATCCCTGGGGCATCCGTATATTGTGGCTTGTGGGGGGGATGAGGAGGTGGGGACATGTGGTGCAGTGCACTGGCAGGAGAGAGTAGGGGGATCTCGCTTCGCCTGCTGACTGCCAAGAGGCCCACATCTGTGTATGATCAGTGAATACACGAGCAGCCAACACATGCACACTCACAGGGACGGTTTGTGTGTATATGTCCTATTTTAGAAAAGAAGAAACCAAAACAAAGGAGTGGATGAGCCCAAAGGAAGTCGGTTGGGGCTGGTTACAGCAGCGGGTGGCGTTGTGAAGACATAATATTCATCATGGGATCACGAACAGCTCCCCACTCCCCCTACTTTTCGTGAAACGGAACTACAGCAGCCAAATGTAATTATATGTACATGTAAACTATCCATTAGCTCACATGAAGAAGGGTGCACGTGGGAATTAGGGATAATCAAACGAAACACACAGGCACAAACGAGAAGAAAAGCGCATTTGCGCAAAAACCGAGTAAACGTCCATTCATGCAAAACTGTGTTTACTAGACGTTCCACATGCAACCCCGGTAGTAGACATGGATGAGTGAACTCGGGTCATGTGTTATCTCACTGTTGGCCTCAGTTCACGACGCGGGGATCCCCAGAATACAGTCGCTCTCAATTTTTCCGTACTTGTAGTCTGACCACATGAGCAGCGATATAATTTGAGCTCCTCAGCTTTACGTGAAGATCGCCTTTATTTGAGTTTTACTCAAATCTAACGTGGGTAAAGTTTTCTCTCAAAGCACTACGAGCTGCTCGCCTGAGAAGCGGAACAGTGCTACGTCCGCGCGGCTCAGTAAAACGGAACCCTGCTTAAGATCTCAAATCCCCGGCTCATTACGATTTGATTGCGGAGAGCGCACGCAAGTAACGGAGCTCTTAGTCTGTCAGTGCTACCAGGAGAAAGACAGCCGCGGGGGTGAACGAGCAAGCTTACCGCAGGAGTCAACTCCGACTATGACTGTAGCTTTTACGCACGGCTTTTTACGCAAGCATGTGTAACATTATATGTTTTAGCCCAATGCACTTCTTTTTAGAAATCCAGTTTTTAATTTGGTAAGATGTGCATCTTAATAGGGGGAGGAAGTTTCTTCCAACTAATGATTAGGAAGAATAAACAAAAACACTGGACTGCACGACATGTGGCTGAAACACTTTCCATGCACAAAAGCTGTAAAATCAGCTTATTCACAGCTTGGTGAGCTCCTGATTTGAGCCGAAGAGGGACTATTAACGCATGCTGAATTTCTGTTTGATGAACCCATTAAAGTTCATTATAAACAAGCTCAACTGGCATGAATTAGTCACCGTCTGGAAATCGGCAGCTCCAAATATTATGATGACACAAACGAATTTGGTTTATATAAAAGCGCCTGTTGAAGGATACAGAATCCCTCTCGCGGACTCCTTTATATATTCAATTTAGAGATAAGGGAATGCTCGATGACGCACAAATCTGAGAAAAATCAAGCCAAGCATTCATCTCTGAAATGGACTTAAAACATAAGACACGTTCATTTTAAAATGGGTGAACTGATTGTATTTATTAAAGGGTGGGAGGAATGAGAATAAAATAATATTTTTGACAAATCAGGCGCTTATTTGAAACGTTAAAACCATTTTTATTTACCATGTATGCGAAAGACAGCGTGCGTCAAAATCAAGAAGTAATCAAAGTAAAACTCACCTTCTTCTCCTCTGACGGCCAATGCCAGATGACTAAAAGCCATTAAAAATCCAATAAATGATGACACAAAATCCATCTTGGATCAGACAAAAACTTGTGAAGAGCTTCAAGTGTGGGATGTTTCCACCATGTAAGATTGAAACGCTTCGCTTCCTCAAAAAAATCCACACCCGTCTACGGAATGAAAACCTCTGGGAAAAAGTAATAGCAAAACCACTTTAATAAAAGGGGAGAACAATCCCACGACGTTTATAAAAAACATTCGTGGGGGAAAATGTGTAACATGTCATGGAGTGAATTCAAAATTTCTTTACGCGCAGCCCTTTGAAGTCTGCTCATTTAGAGGAGGGATGCCGCTAGACCTCATCCAATAATGACGAAACTAACTCCTTGATCACTACTGTTTGCGCCTCGCAGCTCGGGAGACTTTGAATGATATCTCTACAGCGGCTCCAGGGTGCGTCAAGTTCCGATGTAGGCTCCCCTGTTCCCGTCTCTGTGCGTCGCCGCGTACTTTGCGCACACGAGGGTTTCTTCTCCTGCGGGAGCTTTCTGGCAGCCCGCTGAAGTCCAGCAGCTTTCCCGTAAACCTCTATCCAAGGGAAGCTGCCCCTGAACGGCGCGCGTAAGTGGCAGGACGGCACAGGAAAGTGAGGCGGTTTTGGTTCGCAAAAAAGCCGGTCCGTGCCCTGTCACCTCCCGCGGCACCGCTCCTCTCTGCTCTGTTCTGCTTCTGCCTAGCTGCGGCGCCGTACGAGCCTCCGTTTGGCCACCAGCTTGCCCTCCTGCGACTGCGAGGTGCGTGTAGAGCGTGTGCGTGAGCGATCGCTCTTTTGAGCCGAGCAGCTATCGCGTTACAGTCACGTCGCCCGGGCTCCGCCTCCTCCCGCCGCTCACCAATTATAGGGAGAGAGGGGCGCACGTGCACGCGCACCACGCTTTTTTGTCCGTGTCTCCCTCACAAACTATCGCACCCCCTCCTCAGAAAAGATGCCACAGATATGAACTCTTCCCCAGATGAGACCGAGATAAAAACGCTGTCATGGTAAACTAGGCTGTGCAACTTCTCCCGGGGCTGTTTTGGAGGCTTAGCACTGGCAGACGAGGAATAGAATACATTTAAAATAAATTCAATCAAAGGGCTATCATAGAAAGAGTGAGAACGGGAGGTGAGTGAGACTGGGGAGGGGGGGGGGGCTGCACAGTGCGCCGGCACACGGCTGCCTTTCACCACAAAAACACATCAAACAACCAAGCCAATGTCAAAGCCCTCACTAGGGGGAGAGCCCACCTCGGCCCTGCCCAATCTTAGCCCTGCAATCAACAGGCCTAAATACAGAGCGGGAGGCCGTGTAATGACACAGTAGTGAGCCCAAAATAATCTGCTGAGAAAGGCCTCTGGAGCGTCCAGCCCATGTGCCCTGCCTATGGCTTGGATTACCTTGTAATGTAATGGAGTGGCTGAGGCCCCGCTGCATAATGACTGCATGCAGCCCTGCTGGCAACTTCAGTTGGAACTCTTAGGTACATTCCTAAAGGTCAGGGCACATGGGAGTCTTTTTGAGGCGATGCATACACGTCTTCTGAAAGGATTCCTGCATGACAGCTTCAGGTGCATCGCTTGAGCCATATTAGTATATAAATATATATATGAATATAAATAATGGTGCAACACAGCTGGTGCAAACGTCTTCTTTGTTTTCCCTTGATCGTGATAGCAGTGAGATGTAAACTTTGTCAGCAACAGCCCCGTCTGCCCTTGACAGAAGGTTGTGTGACAGGTCTCTATATCACTGTCTGTCTGTCACCTCTGTCAACTGTCATCCCCCGCTGCTCCACTCCCCCCCAGGTTGACTAGATGCCATCAACTTGCAGCTTTCTTGCAGACTGTCAGTCATTTTCAAGCCCGCCTCGAACCCCAGGGTGCAGTGGTTGTCAGACATCAATCTGATTGGTTAATCTGAGCCTCTGGGCAGGGGTCCACACTAGAAGGAGCCGGTCTTCCACACATCCTATTGTGGACTTGATTACACTTTTCGGATTATTTCCCCCCTCCTAGCGCCACTCACGTGCAGTTAACTGTTTGCTTGTGTGAGTGTGTGTGTGTGTGTGTGTGTGTTATCTGACGTTAGAGCTCTGATTAAACACTTTTTGATGAGCGAAAGTGATCTTTGCTTAACCCCACTGTGACCCTCTCACTGAGATAAAGAGGGATGGAGAGAAGACACAGGCTGTATAAAACCCTCAAGCAACACTGGGTTACTTTCTGTTCTGTTTCCCCTCCCAGTCCCCAAGGGTCATTTGATACTCTCCTCTCCTTCTCTCCCATTTGTCAACATCTCTTCCCCCACCATCAGCTTTCAACCCCCCAAATATTGGGCCAACGTATTGCTAATGGAGGCCAAACTGTGAGAGTGATAAAAAAGGAAACGCTTGTGGGTGGAAAATATTTGTATCAACAGCAGGAAGGAAGATATTCGGTACAATGCAGTTCTGGCTGCATATGTATATACACACACTGGCACATTTGTTGGTTTTAGCTCATACGTTTCATACCAGATATAAAACAAAATCAACATGTATGAAAAGGCTTAAAAGTTCCTATATGTGATATACTTTTTGCCAAGCTCCCCACCACTGCATGATGAACTAGATTTATTGATATAAAATACAACAGTTGTACAAAGGAAACCCATTGGGAAACAGTCTGGGTCTGTTTTTTTCAATGCACTGAATTTCTGCTATATTTAGTAGTTAATATGAATGAAGTGATTTTAGATCTAAAGTACAATCATATCATTATAGTAACATTTCAATACAGAGGCTAAAGTCATGAATAAGTAAGAAAAGAGAGAACCTCGGAGAGGAGTCTTACACAACATGTAAATAACCCTCAATGGCCACAGGACAATTACCACAGTTTTGAATCTCAGCGTTAACCGCTTGTCATGTTATAACTATTGTTCACAATCATTCAAGTCTTTCAGAACGTAGTCTGATGAAGAAAATCAATGGAAACTTTCGGTTGACTGTTGCAGAAAACAGAGGAAAATCATGCAGGTCACCAAAAGAGCTGACTCCTGCCCGGAGGCTTCTCAGTCCTTCAGCACCAGACTTCATGTGTGAAGGCCCAAACAGGCAACCACAATCTGCACAATCTTTTTGATGGATAAGTTCTGATTGTTCTGAGATAATGCCGTTAAACCAAAGCAGAGCTCTTGGCATGGTACACCTTTGTGAATGGAGGATATAATTATCCCCACAGTAAAATATCCTGGAGGTTCTCTCCTGCTTTTGGGCAGCTGCCGGTTACATGGAAACATGGAGCATGTCCAAAAGGTGATAAAATCAGATAATCAAAATGTGTAAGAAGACCAAGTGAGAGGTGGCGGTTTTTGTTATCAGGAATGTATTTCTGATCATTTGGAAAGAATATTTTGAATATTTACCATGTCAAACCTGGGGCTGGTTAAATGTTTGTCTTTTCATTCACCTTATCTTATTTACACTTTTTATTAAACAAGACAGCAATTGTAAATTGTAGATAGAAAATAAAAATATGGATTAATATTGAAACTAAACATTTAGCAGTTTAATGTTAGTTCATTTATATTTGGTTGTGATTTGGTTCATTGGCACCCATTTCTGTCCACATTCAAGACACACAATCCCAGAATTCCAGTGATTCTGTTCTGAGCTGCTTCCGACAAACGAAATGGCACCCACACCTAAATGAAAGCAGTATTCTTGCAGACATGTGACAGGCACGTCTCTACTGTCGGAGCAGGGAATCCAAACATCCAAACACTTGACCTGCAGCTACAGCGGTGAGTGGCTTCGTTCAGTGGAGCTTTTTTAGGTTTTACCGGCTAAATTCTCTCTCATCTCTCTGCACCCAGAATACAGTCGACAAATGTCTTCCACACAGTCCGAGTCCTCGCCACACCACACCTGTGCCGTGCTCACTCATGGGTGGCAGAGGGGAACACAACAGGGTCTTTCTCCCCCGTTATGTGTAAGAGTGAGAAACAGAGAGGCAGAGGCAGATACCAGCCGCTGCCATACCACCTCTCTTATCACAACTTGGCCCGGAGACTGACAGCATGACTGATAACTCTCCCTCTCTTTTTCTCTCCCGTCTCCATCACACAAACACTCTCTTAAACCTCCTCTAGTCTCTCAGCACCCCTCTGCCCCCCCCCTGGCCCATCAGTGTGTTTTGCCAGTCAGCTGTCTGTAGGTTTGAGGGGGAAATTCAAAGTTTTTTTTTGTTGGGCTGAGTGATCTTAGCTTTCTTCTCTTCGTCACCAGCAGTCACAGCCATGGATGCAATGGTGGAAGAGATAAGCTCAAGATAGCCTTCATTTGACCCTATCAGCATGTTTAGTGTGTGTGTGTGTGTGGGGGGGGGGGGGGGTGGTGGGTTACAGCCTTTGTAAGTACATCATGGTTATAGGGCCAGGGTGGGAGTTTTGTGGTCCCTTTGGTATTCATTGGAATGGCACCTCAGCAGGCAATATCAGATCATTCCATCACAATTTGGGAATGCACAGTGAATAGATAAGGGAAGTTAAACAAACGCACACACAAAGAGCATTGTCACACAATGTATAGGTGGAAAAGAAACAATAGTATGTATTATAGGATCTCTGAATTAAAGTGAAGCCTTCTTCATGTTTAATCTTCAAAACGATCTATTTGCTATATCTTTTTTTATCTTCATGCTGTTCTTTGCCGCTGCAGTGACCCAATTTCCCCCTGGGATCATTAAAAATTCAACTTATCCTTATCTTCGTAGTGCATCTACACGCACATATACACACGCATACACACACACACACACACACATCTTAATCTAACCTTTGATAATACTCCAGTTCCTCCAGTGAGCAGGATCTTCCGTCTTCACCATGATGCGCTGATCAGAAACCCCTCATCATCTTCTGCTATTCCTAAACTCACCTCCACCGTTAAATTCCTCACGGGCCACACAAGCTTTGGCCTCGGCCAGGTTACAACTACACACAAACCCACAACCAAACACACTGCACTGCTTACAGAAATCTCTGCTGTGCTGGCAGACTCCTTAGGCTATAAGGAAGCATATGGTGTCTGTCTGCTGTCTTTCTGCTCGGCGTCCTGGTTGCCTGTGTGCGTGTGTGCACCTCTGTGTTACCTTCAACAGCACAAATAGCTTCATAACTCTTTCACGCCTGATAGAGAAAAATCTTACCACTGTACAGAAACAATTATCCTCAGACGCTGAATTTTTACTGATCATGTATTTAGGATTTTTCTTTTCTTAATATCTAAAATTTGTTGCCATTGAAATGAGAAAATGTGATAGAACCACATTCGAGCAAAAAATAAATAAAATGAAAAAATTGCAGTATGCATCTCAGCCTAATGGGGGCAGGCAATTGCATCCAGCACACAATCTGATGTTCTGGCAGGAGGCAATCATTAGAAACATGGTCAAATATAAATAGACTCAATGTTGTTTATGCTTGCACTAAAAGGATTAAAACATAAAGATAATCATGCTCAAAATGAACACGTGACAACTATCAAGTCAGATTTCCTTTGGTTGATTTTGGCATTTCTAAACATCTTTATAAAAAGACTGATTTCTGAATCATTCAAGTCACTGGTTCATTGGTGTTGCCAAACTCCGAAGTTGGTAAGTAATTATGAATTATTATCATAAAAAGGAATGATTTAAAAAAAATTAATAGATAAGCCGTGCACATGCAAGATGGCTGTGCTGCGTAGGATCCACTACATAGCTGTTGTCAGCTTGGTTAAAAAATGTTGTTTGCTCAC